GGACTTAAATTATATTTTACTCATTATTTCTTGTTTCCTCCCAGACAGAGCTCCTTGAAGAATAAACTGACTACTACTTCTCCAGTTTTAGTTCTTGTGTAAGATTTTCTGGCACAGAGATCTTTTTAATCACCTGATTCATTCTGCTGCTGTTTTCCCTAGTTAAAGGAAGGTATAAGTCTAATGAACAATTGTGGTTTAGCTAACTAGTGAGGCTTTTCCTTGGATGGTGGTATATGACTAAGAGCCAACCTCTACATGATTTTTGCTAGGAGACCAGCAGTGCATGATGATGACTACTAAAGAATGAGACCTTGGCTAGTTCATTCATTAGAATGGAATGTGGTATGGTGCCCGGCCACACAAAGTTTGGCTCATTGGTCAGTATCAGCATCACCTGGAAGCTTACCAGAAATACAAGAACCTGCCCCTCCCCTCAAGATTTGAGTCAGAATCTGCATTTTGAAAGATCCCCAAGTGATTCCCTGGTGTAGTGGACAGGCCCTGGGCCTAAAGATACAAAGTGTGGCTTCTTGTGCCAGTTTTGAGTTTTACTAACTGACCTCTAAGCTCCAGTTTATCTGCCAAATGGGGCTGATTGTAATAATCCCTTCTATTACTACCTCACAAGATTACAATGAGGTAAATTAACTTAAAATAAATGTATAAAAGCATTCTGTAAACTGTACCTCACTCAGACTAAAGCATTATGATAATAAGGACCATGTTGCCTTAAACATGAATTTAATTCCTGCGTTGATTTGTTACTTAGATTTGTGTGCCTTATAGACATGAATTGTGAGAGTGAATTGGTTTAGCTCTACCAAATATTTGACATACCAAGTGCTGATTTCAGTCTTCAAATTTTGCATGTCGAAAACCTGCAGTACCAGACTTCGTGTTACCCTCAGCTAACACTAGCCATCCTATGTCTCCTCCCTCCTATCCCTCTCCCTTGCAATCTGGAAATTATCTGAAGCACAAAGCCTTAAAAAAACAAAAAAATACCCAATGTAGATATTATTTCCAAGGAATTCTGTATATAATTAAAATATTATGACCTTCCCTTTTCCCCACTAGTCTTTTATCCAGGACAAATATTGGTGACCTGAAGAGTCTGCATAAAATAGAAGATTCTATATGAGTATGAGAAATTTAAGTTGAAAACCTGATACTGTCCTAAAGACACCATAATCCATATATGTATGGCCAACCACCACACTAACAAACCCCAAGGGGAAATGAGGTGACCTGGGTGTGAGTCCCCAGTTGGGTGTTTAAAAACTCAGACAAACTTAAGACCTGGCACATAGAGAAAAGTTAATGAAATTAACGTTTACAAATTTACAAATGAAATGAGAAGAGGAAGGAAAGAGAGAGAGAAAGGGATAGAGAGAGATTAATTGGTCAACACATCCTATGGGTAATGTGGTCTAGCTGATACTCCAAGGGGCAGCTGAAAGCAGGAAAAGCCGAGTCTATAAACCCACATGTATTTGGATTTACACCAAGCATGGCTGTTTAACCCCAGCAAGCTCCGCTTTAGGAATTCAAGAGCCATAGTAGATTCATGGCATGATGGCTTGAGATCTCTGTGGCATGGAAGTGGGGATGGGGTCCATAAAACTTCAGCAGGTGGAAGTTGTCCAGGACATATTGTTCCTCCAACAGCTCTATATACAATCTTTAATTATTACAACACTCTTCATAGTGCCATTATTAATTTTATTAAAAAAAATCAAAATGAATTACTGAGCTACCACTTGACTGGTAAAAGAATTAAACAAAGAGACCATTATACTGGGGTGGTTCTGATGTTCTGGAAGCCTACATAAGCAAACCAAAACCTAAGTCAGAATCAATGCAGTAAAAGCAGAGAAAAGGAAACCTCAGAACAAGAAGAGCTAACTGGGCTTTCCAAAATATGGCAAAATTTAAGCTTTAGCCAATGAATTATTTGACCCTGCTTCTGCATCTTTTGTGTAAAAACATCTGCCTTTCATCATGGCAGTAGCGTGTTATAACCCACCTTTGGTTTGGTGCTGCCCTGTTGAAAATGATGTATGTTCAAATATATGCACTCTCAGAAATTTAATACACTACATTCTATTTTTTTGAACATGATTTACCAATGGTTATATGGCAGTCAAATATCAAAACCACATCAGCATCACACAGTCTGACTTCAAACCCTGCACAGTGGACCCTGATTTTGTCCTCCCAGGAAAGAAAATAAGCACTAGTCCAGTAGTCTCCTCCTTGGCTACACGTTGGAATCATCTAAGAAATTTTAAAAAGTACTTAGGTCACACAGTCTGAGAAAAAAAATACTCAGAGTTCCTTTATCTGACAGAAGGCTTGTGTCCAGAATATATAAAGAATTCTCACAAATAAGCAATAAAAATAATCCACTTAAGTTTTTAAGTGGACACAATACTGGAACATAATATACATTCACATTAGCGGTTCTGGCTTCAACATATGAATTTTGGGGACAAAATATAAGTGGTTAATAAGTATAAGAAAAGGTGCTCTTCATCATTAGTAACAAAAGGATTGAAAATAAAGTGATAATGGTATATTCTTTCACACCTACTAGGGTGGCTAACATCAGACTGACAACATCAATTGTTGGCAAAGATGAACAGCAACTGAAACTCTAATATGTGGTTATTGAGTGTATGCAATAGTATTAGCACTCTGGAGAACTATGGCAAATTTCTACAAAATCAGAAACATCTGGTTTTCAACCTAGCAATTCTATTTTGATGTAGTTAATATACAGATGAATGAAAAGGTTTCCAAAAAAACTTCAAAAATGTTTATAGCAGCCTTGTTCCAGTTATCCAGTATATATAAAATCCACATCCAAATCAGGGGCATACAGCTACCTTTTTCATTTTTACACATTTTGTGGTGAGGAGTTGAGAAGGGACATAATGGATCAGCTTCTCTCTATCTCACTATAACTAATCCAGCCAGTCTAAGATGTCTTGTTCACTCATAGCTGACCTCTGAGCGGGAATGGTTATCTGGCTCAGTTTGAACTTTCAACCTGTGTCTACAGCAAACTTTCCAGCATGGTGGTCTCAGGGTAGCCATACTTCTTCCATGGAAGCTCAGTGTTCTAAGACAAATGTTCTTTTGAGAAATATCCAACTATATATTATAGCCTCAGAAGTAATGTAATGTTTGTATTAAGGCTGCCATAATCAGATATCATGGACAAGGTGTTTTAAACAGCAGTCATTTTCTCACAGTTTTGGAGGCTCCAAGTCCAAGATTGAGGGTTGGTATTTGGTGAAGCCTAACTTCCTGGCTTGCAGATAATCACCTGTTCACCATGTCTTTATGAGGACTTTCTTTTGTGTCTATTTAGGGTGGAGGGAGGGCGGTTAGAGGGTAAGAGAAAAGTCTGGCCTCTCTTCCTCTTCCCAGAAGGACACCAGTCTTATTGGATTAGGTTCCCACCCATCCTTATGACCTTTAATCTCAATTATCTCTTTAAAGGCCCTATCTCCATATACAGTCACATTGGGGGTTCTGGCTTCAACATATAAATTTTGGGGACAAGCATCATGTCTCTTCTACTATTTTCTATTAGATAAAGCTGTTACAAGCCTGCTTGCTCTACCAGGAGGGGACATGGAGACCATTTCTGATGAAGGACTGTCAAAGATTTTGTGGCTATGTTTCAAAATTACTACACTGATTTATTCATAATAGCCCACAAGCTATAAACAACCCAAAAGTCCATCAACACAAAAATAAATTTTGATGTATTTATATCATCAAATAGTATTTGTGATTAAAAGAAATGTACAACTACATGGATAAATCTCAAAAACATTATTTTGAGCAAAGGAAGCAAGACCCACCAAAAAATATGTGTTATACAAATTCCACTAATGAAGTCCAAGAACAATCAAAACTCACCTGTGGTAATAAAAGTCAGAACGTGTTTGCTTTTGCAAGGGTTGGAATTCACTATAAAGTGGCATATTACTTTTGTTGAGATGGAAATGTTCTGCATCTTGTTTTGGATGGTGGGTACATAGGTATATACACTTGTGAAAAGTATTTAATATTGTCCAGTTATGTTTATTGAGTTGAAGTCGGTTTACAACATTATATCTGCTTTGGGGGTATAGGTTCAAACCTCTATAAGTGTATGTTTCACACCATTGTTCACCACCAGTGCTCCTACAAGCCTTCACCATTCCATTGGACCCCCTCCCTCCCAAATTCCTAGGCCCCCAACACCTGTTGTTCTTGGTCTTTTTGATAAAGACAGTTTTCACAGGTGTGAGGTAGTATCTAATTGCAGTTTTGATTTGCATTTCCCTGATAATAAGTGATGATGCGAATTTTTTTGCATGTGCATATTGGCCATTTATCTGTATATGTTTGGAGAAGTGTCTGTTTAGTTTTTCTGCCCATTTTTTGATTGGGTTAATTGTTTTGTTTTTGTTGATTTACATGAGTTGTTTATATATTTTGGATACCTACCCACTGTTTGTTAGATATATTATGGATATACACCTTTTGGCAAATATATTATGTGCAAATATTTTCTCCCGCTCAGTAGAGTATCTTTTTATTTTAGTGATAGTTTCTTTTAACATATAGAGGCTTTCTAGTTTGATGTGATCCCATTTGTTTATATTTGCTTTTGTTTCTGTTACCATTGGAAAGGAATCCTAAAGACATCTCTGAATGTCAGAGTGTTTTGCCTATTTTTCTTCAATGTACTTGGTTTTTAATAGATTTTTATCTTTCCTTTTGTTGATGTAGTGAATTACCTTGATTTTTGGATGTTAGATCATCCTTGTGTCCCTGGTTGTTCTTGTTTAAATATTGCTAAGGATCTTTGCATAATTCTTTTATTCAGTAACATCTTTATCAGGTTTTGGTATCAGAGTGATGGTATCATAAACTGTGTTTGGAAGCTTTCCCTCTTCTCTATTTTTTTGGAGAGTTTAAGAAGGATAGGTATTATTCATCTTTGAAGGCATGGTAGAACTCACCAGTAAAACAGTCTGAGCCCAGGCTTTTGTTCTTTGGGAGACTTGATTACTCCTGGCAACTCTTTAAATTGAACACCTAAGACATATACATTTGATTGACATGTGGATTATTTCTCTATTTACACACACACACACACACACACACACATAATCATGCTTATGTCCTACTCTAGGAGATTCAGGTTCAGCTAATCTGGAGTATAGCTGGGGTAAATCACACTCAGTGTTGTAAATCAATGTTACATCAATTAAAAAAATACAATTTTAAAAACCAGTTTTCCCACATGGTTCCAATGTAAAGTGAAGGACCCCGTGATGACATTGAGCCCAGCTTGCTAATTCAGAATGAATGCCCCATCTCAAGACCCTTTACTTTATCACATCTGCACAGTTCCTGTACGGTGCAAGGTCCTGGGGACAGGAATGTGGACATATTTGAGAGGTGGTTATTCAGCCTGCCCCACTATGCTCTTCAAAATGAAGTTTTTCAGATGTCAGATGCAGAGCAACTCCTCACCTAGCATATTGGAACCCAAAGGGCTTAGGAAAATTCCACATCATCTGTAGCTATTTCTGAAAAGTGACCTGCAAAAAATGTTCCATAACTCCCCAGACTACAGCATTACACATAAGGTGTCCCAAATAACCAGTCTCTAGGGTGGTAACTGCATTATTGGAAAACTCAATTTCCTTTTTCAGGTCCCAGGATGACAAGCCCCATTACCATGTAAAATTTGAGAATAGTAACTGCCCTCTGTTATAAGGGGAAGTGCAAACACTTGCCAAAAAAGCAGGGCAGAATATTTGTAAACATATGTATTTTCCCCTCTCCCTTGACATAGGGATTGAAAGTGCATACAGTGGTTACTTAGGAAAATGTGTGTTGATAAAACCCACTAGGAGGCATTCCTCACCCATCTCCAATGCTCTTCCCAAATATTTTCTTGAGGCCTTACTGCGTACTGGGTAATGATTGCTCAAAAGAAACACTTCTTCCTTTCTCATCCTCTCAATTTTCCAGTTTCCTCCAGATGAACATTTCTAAAATATCACTTTTCACTGTTGTTTCTTATTGCTGGAAAGGATAAAGGCAAAGGTTTCCAGTCTGGCACACAAGCCTGATCTTATTTATTTATTTATTTGTTTGTTTGTTTGTTTGTTTACATATTTATTTATTTATTTGTGGGACCCTTGCCAGTGGCCGGGGAACAAACTGGCACTGCAGAGGCTGCTGGCAGCCTCGCAGCCCAGCGCTCAACCGCTGTGCCACCAGGGGAGGCCCAGAAGCCTGATCTTGATACAGCATTCTCTGCCAGAGCTCAAGACATGAGACTCACACTCCAGCCAAACCAATGTAAACAGAGATATTTAAACTGTTTTCCCTTTTGTAACTTAAATTCTTGACTTGAGACATCATAAAATATCCTCCTGGTTGAGAACACTAGGCCACCACATTGTACCACCATGTCGCATATCCCCAACATCTGCCTTACCTGGCATCACATTCCTCATCCTATCGAGGCCAAAAATTTCCATCCAGCTGTGAAGACCATGACAGGCCACAGTCAGTCACACAAGCCTCTCGTCCAAATTCTCAAGACTGATCTGGGCCTCCCTGGTGACGCAGGGCGTTGAGTGCAGCACTGTGAAGCTGTCCGCAGCCTCTGCAGCGCCGGTTAGATTCCCAGCCGGCCAGGGAGATACCCATAAGATGTGGCAGATCTCTCCTGTCACGCCCGCTGCTCCCCTCAGCAGTGTATTTCAGTCAATATGCCTGTTCTGCTCCCCACTCTGTCCCCCACTCCTCCCACACCTCTGGACTGTACCCCAGTGCTTGTATAAATTAAAGGAAAAAAATTAAAAAAAAAAAAAAAAAGACTGATCTGTTCTATCTCCAGACAAATGACAAATATCCAGAGGGTCAAATGTGTCATGCTAGTAAGTGTTGACCCATGAGGCCTATAGGGCCTGAGCAGTCCCAGGATCTCAGTTAAGATACTATAGCACCATCTCTAAAGTCCTTTCTACCAATAAACGTTCTTTATCCTATAGTTTTGCATATATGATACCCTTTTGTTATGCAATACAAGTTGTAGGGGAAAGTAAATGTCTAGAGAAATATTTACTTAAAGAGCTGCACTTCCGGGCCTCCCCTGGTGGCACAGAGGTTGAGCGCTGGGCTGCGAAGCTGCCCGCAGCCTCTGCAGCACTGCAGCACCGGTTTGTTCCCCGGCCACCAGCGAGGGTTCCACATGGCGTACAGACCTCTCCTGCAGCCCACTGCTCCCCTCAGCAGTGTATTTCGTCGGTCTGCCTCTTTTGTTCCCCGCTCTGGCTCTGGTGAATCCTCTCACCCTCCCTTGCTTCTGACTGTATCCAGTGCTTGTATAAATAAATAAATTAAAAAAAAAAAAAAAGAGCTGCACTTCCCTCACACCCAGCAACCACAGGTGTTCTAGTCCTGAAACTTACATCTTTGCATTTCAATCTAAAACGTCCCTCTAATTCCTTTGCAGGAAAGAGATTGAGTCCTTTATCCTGGCCCCAGAGGCTATTTCTTGCACATTAAGAGAGAGGCTAGAATAACAAGGATTTCCCTATACAACCTAGTATTCTGGAAAGTTTCTTTCTCATTAAATCTTAGTTGACCTTTGGCTCCTGCTGTCTCCCTCTGCCCTTCTCAGCATTACTGCTGCCTCTCCTGGAGCCATGAATGCACAATCTTCTTTTTCTTCTGCTCCAATGAGGGCTCTCTGGATCTGCTTTAGTAAGACCCTCCATTCCAAAGCTCAGGAGCAGAGAAGCCTTATCCACAGCCTGCTACAGTGAGACCACAGAGGAACACTTTCCCAAATGTTTAGGAGGTGGTGCCACCAAGACCACACACCCCTTGTGAGAAAATAGTCCCTCAGTTCCCAGAGGGCAGCCTCTGGCCCGAAGGACCATTGTTAAAGCTCAGAGCCATCTTTTCAATTCTAGAGGTGCACCTCTTCCTCTTTCATCAGACTTCCCAGTGGAAGGGCAACTTTCTTACCCTTCACACTCCTCCTATGGCAAGAGGATTCTCTGTGGGGCTCTCACTTTTCTTTATGTCTTGTGAGCAAGACATTGGCTTCCCTGGATCTCTTTTTGAGACTTTATATAATAAGCAGTTTTCTCCAGAGCAAAGGGAGACTTGCTTATACCCTTGGAAGAGAGAGAGAGCACTCCCTTCTGAACAGAGGGGCAGGCAAGCTTATTGCTTATTATCAACTGTTCAGGGTTGCTACACTCAGAAATCCTTCTGAATTACAACCCTTTGTGTGTGCTGTTGTCACCTGGCATAGTTGTGCTGGGACTCAGGTAAACAGCACAAGAAACTGTAGGTCCTCTAGCTACTGATACTGTTGGGAATACTAGCATGGCTCTACCAGTGACAGCCTAATCCATTAGCTAGTAGGTAGGGTAAGACAGCAGGTCCTACCAATCGTGGACACTCCATAGTGCTGGAATCAGGACAACTGCAGCCCCACTCACAGCTCAAAGTCTTGGAGTCCTAAGCACTCAGAGCTTATTGAGTCAATTAGCACTGAATTCAGAAATGTAAAGATTCCATTTCCAATTTGACAACATGCTATCTGTCCTGTTACAGACCATACCAAATTTCAGACATTGCCTACACCTAGGAATCTGTACAGGGCATTTCCAAGTTCTATAGGAGATGTTTTAGTGCCCTCTACAGGCTACTGTGCAGTGAGGCGCTCTAAGCCACACAGTACCCTACCTTTATCCACCACAGTGGCAGGGAGGGACCTGGTAGAATAAGAAGAAATTTCACTATTACATGTAGAGTCAAAGAAGTTAGTTGGAGATAGTATATATTGTACAATTTACAGAAAGAACAAAACCAAGTGAAATTAATTGTATCTGTTCTGTTTCCAGAGAAACAAACCAATAGCATATATTTCTCAAATTCCTAAAATGCACCCATATATGCGTGTGATATTTAAATAAGTATATATAAAGGGATTTGTATGAATGTACGTATGTGTGTATACACCTATAATCTCTATCCCTAATACTATTGCCACTTTGTTCTTGGCCTGTTGGGTGATGGCAGGAGTGACTGAAAGCGAGGCTGTCTCCACACAGCAGTCATGTGACCCACTTCATTATTAAACCCTACTCTTCTGAGATCATCTTTGGTGAGCATTCACTTGGGACAAAATATTCTCATGGCTTTTTCCTTTTTCTCACTATGAAATGTCTATGCACATACCTCTTTCCCAAATTTTTTCATCATCAGTTTTCCAAGCTGGTTCCAAGTCCTTGACTATCAAACCACAGAACATGAATTAGTATAATATTATAATTTTGGTCATTTCTCTTTCCAAGCAACATGAATAGACAGGTGAATTGCTCCAAGTTCTTCACATAGGAAAGGTTTCTGTTTACCCTTGTCTCTCAGTGACATCCCAGGAAGGGGCAGTCTTGTTACAGCTGTCCACATTTGGCGGTGCCTCATGTTCTTGCAGGCAGAACCTGTATGCCACAGGTTGGGCTGGATCAGAGAAGGGAGTATAGCTGAAATGGCACAAGAGCTCTGCTCAAAACTAGTGTTTTGGGTCAGTTGGTAAATGGGCTAGAGTAGCACACCCAAATGATGAACACGTTACCTCCAAAACCCAAAGAGGCCTTCTAGGTAAGTACCTCTCTTTTGGTTGTAGAAGTCAGTTGCAATAATTATCTTGCAGCTTATAAGCAATATCTTATCATGTCCCTCACCACTGAAAATTACACTGAGATGGAAGGCCTCTGAACTTTGTCAGATTTACTTCTCACCATCTAACATACAAATGACTCACCAATAGGTCTGGAGTAGTTATAACTTCTTGCTCACTAGGTCTAATCAGCATAACATCACCAACGTAGTAGCTCAGTGTGATATCTTATTGTAGAGAAAGCAGTCAAGATCCCTGTGAACTAGGGCCTCCCTGATGTCGCAAGGGGTTAAGATGCAGCACTATCAAGCTATTGCCAGCCACTGCAACGTGAGTTTGATCTCTGGCCAGGGAGGTGACCCACACAGCATAGCAGACCTCTCCTGTCTTGCATGCTGTGCTCCTCAGCACTGTATTTCAGTAGATTTGCCTTTTCTGCTCCCCACTCTGTCTCTGGTGAATCCTCTCACCCCCCGCCCCCACACCTCTGGCCTGTACCCCAGTTCTCGTATGCATAAAAAAATAAATCTTTTAAAAATGGGGAAAAAAAGATCCTTGTGAACTAAACTATGACATAGAGCTAGACAATTGATAAACACATGAAGTAGGATAGTGAAGGTATATTTCTGGCCTCGCCAGCTGAAAGCATACTGCTTCTGGTGGTCTTTATTGGCAGATATAAAGAAAAAAGCATTTGTCAGATCAATAGCTCCAAACCAAGGAATGTGTTCATTTGCTCCAATAATAAAGTCACATCTGGAATATCGGTTGCAATTGGAGCATCACTACATGGAGGGAGAGATGGCGGTGTAGGGCTTCAATATACGAATTTGGGAGGACCAAAGTGGTGAGTCTATTTGGCATCCACAGGAAGATAACTAAGATTAAGTGAGGTGATAGGGTGGGACCTAATCAATTAAGAATCTTGTCCTTATAGGAGGAAGAGACCTTAGAGAAAAAAAGCATGTGAGGACAAAGCAAGAAAGTAGGTGCCTGCAAGCTAGGGAGAGAACTCTTACCTGAAATTAAACCTGCTAGTACATTGATCTAGGACTTCTAGCCTCCAGAACTGTAGGAGAGTATCTGTTGTTTAAGCCACCAAGTCTGTGGTATTGAATTGTGGAACTGACTGTAGCAGACTAATACAACTACTAATCTTGCCAACTGAAAGCAAACTGCATCTGGTGGGATACTCTAGAAACAAGTATTGAAAAAGTATTTGGCAGATCAATAGCTGTAAAGCAGGTACCAGGAGATACATTAATTTGCTCAAGAAATGAAATCACATTGTGACAGCTACTCTAATTTCAGTGACTGCCTGGGTAAATTTGTGATAATCCACAGCCATCTCCAACATCCATCTATTTTCACAGGCCAAATAGGTGAGTTGACTTGGGGTATGGTGAGAATCACTCTTCCTACATTCTTTAAGTCATTGACAGTGACACTAATTCCTGCAATCCTGGGACTCGTGCTTTAATTTGCTCTTTTCTTAGATGTAGTTTTAGTGGCTTCCACCAAGCCTTTCCTACCATAATAGCTTTCCCTCAGAGGTCCAGGAACCAAGATGGGAATTGTGTAAGTTCCTGAGTATGTCCTTCTCAATCACACATTCCAGAACTGGGGAAATAACCACAGGATGGATTGAGGGACTTAGTAGGCCCACTATGAGATGGACCTGAGCTAAAATTCCATTGATGAGCAGTCAGTTACATCCGTAACTCGTACTCAGAAGGGGGCGTGGGTGTGTGTGTGTCACAGTGATGTTTTTGGTCTCCTGAAATTAGTGTTAGTTCAGAGGTAGTGTATGCTAGGAAGGCATGGAGCAGGATCTCTATGATTGGAGCATACGGGTGAAGGAGGAGCCCTGGAGCCCTTGGTGGCTTTTTCAGGGTTTTATTGGGATTTTACCAGGTACATGGCAGGCGGGGGTACTGGCGGGCCGGGAGATTGGGGGGCCGGGAGGCTGGCAGGCCTCCCGGCCCCCCAACAAGTCTTCACCCTTTCTGGGCTCTCCGGTGTTCTCTCGTGGTCTCGTTCTGGCTCTGCTCTCGTTCTCTTCTCTGGTCTTTCGCTCTGCTGGCAAAAGTCTTAGCCCAGGTGTACCCACCTACTATGCCCACACCCTACTCCAGGTGTCTGTCATCAGGCATGTATTCAGGACCACAGGGAGCCATCGGCAACCCTGATGGTGGGAGGGCAGAAAAGCCTGACATTTTCCTACAGTGGTGATAGGAAATAAATGATTCTTTCAAGGCAGACAGGCATTTTCTCAATTGTGTAGTGCTTGAGTTGGAAATTTGAAGCCCTAAGATCATTATTTCTTTCCCTACTTTTCCAGCATAATCAGGATCAAGCAGCCAATCTTTTACTTATTATTTTTTTTTAAGATTTATTTTATTTATTTATACAAGCACTGGGTACAGTCAGAAGCGTGGGAGCGCGAGAGAATTCACCAGAGCCAGAGCGGGAAGCAGAGCAGGCAAGGGGACTGAAGTACACTGCTGAGGGGAGCAGCGGGCAGCGGAGAGGTCTGCGCGCCATGCGGGACCCTCCTCCAGTGGCCGGGGAGCAGCTGGGGATCGAACCGGCACTGCAGAGGCTGCGGGCAGCTTCGCAACCCAGCGCTCAAACCGCTGTGCCACCAGGGAGGCCCAAGCAGCCAATCTTTTAAACCTATTAGTTTAACAAAAATATTCTAAAGTATATATGGTCACTTAGAACCTTGCTTCTCCTAAGTATTTGTTAGTAGTAGCAGTATTAGTAGATAGGTTGGGTATCTCTATGCCACAGACCACCAGTGCCCCTTTCACCACTAGAAAGAATCATTAGTATCTTCATATCTAATAGATTAGAGAACTAATGTAGACAATTCATCAAGATTCATTGTTATCAGCCAGGGTTCTCCAGAGATATAAAACATATCTATGTATTTTTATATATACATACATCTTCCGTTGTTTTTCTGTCTGTAGTGGCAGGATGGCGACAGAGAAGGTTTTCTATGATTCTATGCAGATGGGGTAAAGGAGAACCCTGGAGCCCTCGGTGGGTTTCTCAGGCTTTTATTGAGCTTTTACATGTAGTGCAGCAACCAAGTACATGGCAGGCAAGGGTGCCAGGGGGCCAGAAGGCTAGCAGGCCTCCAAGCCCCCCGCAAGTCTTCACTCTGGGCGTAGCAGCAGGAGGGGCCGGAGCAGGTTCTCTATGACCCGAGCAGATGGGGTAAAGGAGGAGTCCTAGAGCCCTCTGTGACTTTTCAGGCTTTTATTGGGATTTACCAGGTACACAGCAGGCAGGGGGGCCAAGGGGCCAGGAGGCTAGCAGGCCTCCCCATCCCCAGCAAGTCTTCACTCTATCTGGGCTCTCCAGCATTCTCTGCTTCATCTCTCTGCTCTTCTCGTGGTTCTCCTCCTGCTCTACTCTCTACTTCTGCCACTCTCGGCTGTGCCACTCTTATAGGCCCCGGCCTTGGCCCAGGTGAAGCCAATCTACATATGCCCACACCCTACTCCAGGTGCCTGCCATTAGGCATGCATTCAGGACGGCAAGGATCTATCATTAATCCTAATGGCAGGAGGGCAGAAAAGCCTGATACTTTTTACCTTACCCTGCACTGGGCTTCTCTGGGGTTCTTTCTCCTTTCTCTCTCCTGCCTCTGCTTCTCTTGGTGAATATATCAATACTGCAGCCAAGGCCCACAGAAGTAAATAACACAACTAATAACAATGTAACAAATGCAGGTACCCCATCAGGCAGGGCAATCCTAGAGGCAGGAGGACAGAAAAGCTTGAAAACCATTTACTCTACACTAGGGCAGGAGCATAGTGGATAGAAGGGAACACAATGACAGCTTATGGGATGCTGATCATGTTCTGTTTCTCAACAGAGTGGTGGGTACAGGGATGTTTTCAGTTTCTGAAAATTATAACATTCACTTATTGTACACTTTGGATTGTGTATTTTACTTAAGTAATAAGAGTAAATGTTAAGAAAAAAGGTAATAAGACAAAAATCATGGAAACAAAAAAATTCTATGAAATATGACCAAAACTTATAATTATCACATATAACTTTGTGTTGGTAAATTTACACATTTGTTGAAATGATTGACTCTTAAAGGAAAATAAATATAAAATTCACTTGAAAAAATTAAAATTTCTGAAGATAGCAATAATAATTTTATGGTAGTTAAAAGCAACTATCACTTACTTCACTATCAATGGCATCAGGCTTATATAGTTTTATATAAGACTTATATAATTTTGTGCATTTTATCTACAAAATCATCACAGAAGTTCCTATGTTATGTAAACTAGCCCAAAGCAGAAAAAATGTGAAAGCTTTGAAATTGAGGCTCAATGCTTGAATTAGACCCTATAAGTACAAGGGAAAAAAAAAAAAAACCTTTTCTCTTTGAGACTTGTATTTACTTATCTGAAAAAGCCTAAGCAAGTAAAAGCAACTTGAGCTGAGTTCCAAGGTGGTGTGGAGACTGAGAATGTAGAAGAGCAGAGCCTACTCAGAGGCAAGGGGTCCACCAACAGAAACTCCAGTATCTAAAAACAACAAAAAGCTTCTTCACACTTCATGTATGAACTGCCCTGTAACCAGACAATAAATTTCAGCCAAGTCCCTATTCTTTGCCCCAATCTGCTTTTCAATCCTATTATCCAAAACCTACTTATAACTCATTTCTCTTCTTAACAAGGAAGGTAGATTTGAGTCTATCTCCTACCTCCCTGCCAACTGATTCACAATAAAATGGATTTTTCTTTTCAAAGACATGATGTCATTACATAATCTATGTAAATAGGGTAGAGAACTCCATTGCTCAGTAGTATCTTCTTGAGTCACTGTAGGTTAATACAATTCAGAAAACATAAAAGAAAAAAACCAGCATGTATAAGAAGTACTGAAAATGATTGCCTATGTCCCTTATACAGAAACAAATATCCTTAAAAATTTAGTGAATCAGGGCCTCCCCTGGTGATACAGGCAGTTGAGCGCCACGCTGTGAAGCTGTTTGCAGCCTCTGCAGCGCCAGTTTGATCCCTGCCGGCCTGCGAGGGTCCCACATGGCGAGGCAGACCTCTCCTTCTCGCCTGCTGCTCCCCTCAGCAGTGTATTTCGCCAGTCTGCCTGTTCTGTTCCCTGCTGTCTCTGGTGGGTCTTCTTGCCCTCCCGCACATGTGGTCTGTACCCTGGTTCTTGTATAAATAAATACACAAATCTTTAAAAAAAAATTTAGTGAATCACTACTCGTGTTAAAACAGTAATTGTTCAGCATTTAGAAATATATGTACTGATAGGGAAAAGGTGATAAAACACTAATTTCTAATGAACACTCCTCAGAAGCTAGAGATAGGAAAAATTCAAACTTTGAAGAAATGCTACTACATTAAAAGTAGTTTTATTAAAATCAGAAACAAAAGTATGACCACAGCTGTTCTTCAACAATGTACAAGAACTAGCACTGGCTTTCTTATTCATCCCTCTTCTTTACAATAATATAGGGAACTGGAACTCTTCAAATTTGTTTTCCCAGGTTTCCTTAATAGGCTTTCACTTTCTAGTTAGGCTCTTCCTGAGAGACTCTGGTAGGAGACTGGATTGTGGGAGAAAGAAAGTCTTTCTTCCCTCTCTGATGAGGCAGCTCAAAAAACTGCAGTAGGGTGGCAAATTTCCTTGAAGCTGGATTCCAGCAGTAGCAACACTAACACTCCGCTCCAGCTCCAGCAGCTGCAGCAGAGGCACCAGGGACTTTGCTCCTTGTTCTTGGTCACCTGCAGAGCAAGCTGTCGTGTTGGTTCCAGGCTTTTAGCATGTTGATGGTGAATGTTCCAACAATAGCCCTGTAGTTACCGATTACTGGGTAACCTGTCCTGTTCCTTTTTTTGCTCTTAATACTTTCGATATATTCATAACCAATTTCCTATGCTCAATCCCTTATTTGGAGTGGTTCCTGCTTTTGTTATTGAATACTGACTGGTATGAAGTATCTGTAACTCATTATTTGTAACGGTAAAATGTTTTACTTACATACACAAGATACCAGTAAAGAAGCTAGTCACTGAGGTTACAGATACAAAATGACATACAAAAATGAGCAGCTTTCTTATAAACAAGTAGGAAAATAATAACCCATTCATAATAAAAATATCTGTGAAGTCTGGTTCCAGGAGAGTAAGTCTTAGAACTCATGTCGGATCCTGCTATCCTCTTGGGTGACTTCATTCTCCACATGGAAAACTTTCTAATTTCTAGTATCTGCCCACATTTGGGTTGTTCCCCCAAGCCTGGTCTGCAGCTTCGATCCTTTGCCCTTTCTCCCTCATCACACTTCGCCGCCGCCGCCCTCCATAACCTCTCACTTTCCTCCTCTCCACGCTATCCCGTCTTCACTTTATGGTTCTTGAGCCTCAATTTTTCAGTCACCTCTTCAGGCGTCTCTCCGTCCTTTTTTGCTCCCTCAGTGTCCAGGCAGAGCCCCGCTCCTGAGCAAATCCACGTCCGTGTCCCCACTCGCCGGGTACGCTCAGCGCGCGTCTCCCGGGCGAAATCACCCAAACACGAGCCGGCCCTACCTCCAGCGCGAGGACTACGAACGGCATTTTAAACCTCGTTGCTCTCAACTACCACGAGCTCTTGGTTTTCACTGCAGCAGGCCCTGGCGCGCAGCGACGGCGACGCGCCCGTCACCCAAGGACACAGCGGCTCGCGGGGCAGGACGGGCCGGGGGGCGGGGCAGGACGGGCCGGGGGGCGGGGCTGGACGGGCCGGGGGGCGGGACAGGACGGGCCGGGGGGCGGGGCTGGACGGGCCGAGGGGCGGGGCTGGACGGGCCGAGGGGCGGGGCTGGACGGGCCGAGGGGCGGGGCAGGACCGGCCGGGGGGGCGGGGCAGGACGGGCCGAGGGGCGGGACAGGACGGGCCGAGGGGCGGGGCTGGACGGGCCGGGGGGCGAGGCAGGACGGGCCGGGGGCGGGGCGGGCGCGCGCCCCGGCGGCTGGTCCGGGCTGCGGGTCCGCGCGCCGCCGCGGCCGCCCTCTTCGGAGGCGGGAGGGGCAGACGGAGGCGGCGCGGGCCTGGCGGAAGCCATGTTTGTGGCGCGCAGCATCGCGGCGGACCACAAGGATCTCATCCATGATGTGTCTTTCGACTTCCACGGGCGGCGGATGGCGACGTGCTCCAGCGACCAGAGCGTCAAGGTACCGGCCAGGCCCAGCCCGGAAGAAGGGGGCGTGGGGTCGCGCGCGACCCGCTATTTGGGCGGAGGGGCCGGCGCGGAGGGGCGGGTCGAGAGGCGCCTGCTCCCTATTGAAGGCGTGTGGGCGAGCCGGCGCGGAGCTCAGGCGCTCCGGCAGGCCCCGCCGCCCCGGCCCCGTATTGTGGGGTCACCGCGCCCCGGCGGGCTTGCAGCCGCGCGCCTGCGCAGAGCGCGCCGGGCGGGGCGGCCGAGGCCGCGTGCGCGCTCCCGCCGCGGGGGACGCGATGGGCCCGCGTGGTTCCGACCCGGCGCGGGTGCTGTTGGGCCGCGAGCCGCGGGGGTGGTTCGCGCCGCTGGCTCTGGGGCGGACGTGCTCGGTGCCCGCTGGGCGGGGGCGTTGATCGTGGGGCGTGGAGGGCGGTGTCCTCGCGGTGCGCCCGGAGCTCGGGGGCCTCCTTGCCTCCCCGGCAGGTTTCTTTATGGAGTGCGGTCAGGAGTCTCTCCTGGCTTCTCAAGAAAAGCAAAAGCACCCGGTGAAATTCTCTGTTCGCTGCCTGAGAATTGGAGCTTGTTTCTTAAAGTAGTCCGTCGACGTCTGTAGACTATTTGGACGAGCAGCTTCAGTCCTATGAGGATATTTCTGGTCTAGGAACCTCGGCTTGTGGGGTCGACGAGGACTGCGTGAAGAGGACATCCGGAGCGGGGTTCTCCGCGTTCTGGACGACTCCAGAGTAACCGAAACCCTCAGGAAGGCTTTTTCCGCCTTAGTTTGAGATAGCTATGATCTGTCAGGATCGTTATTGTAACAACTAGCTTTGCCTTTAAAAGAAACTAATGCCACCAAGTTCATGGGCTATAGCGTGGCATCTTTCACAAGGTTTAAAACTTTTAAAAATTAATTTTAAACTAATCTTTAATTGTACATTGTGGTTCAGTGGCATTAAGCCCAACATTCACATTTTGCAGCCACTGTCCGTTTCTGATGCGCTTTATTTTAAACTGCAACTCTGTACCCAGTAATTTCCTCCTCCCCACTGCCCACAGTCCCTGGTAATCTCTGTTCTCTTTTTGTCTTTGTAAATTTGACTATTCTGGGTAGCTCTTATAAATTGAATCATACTACATTTGTATTTTTTGTCTGGTTTATTTCCCTTAAAATGATGTTTTCTAGATTCATTCATGTTGTAGCATATATCAATTTAATTTTTAAGAATGAATATTAATCTTGTATGCAACAAAATTTTTATTCATTTGACACTTAATGCATTAATTAACGTCTTTTAGCTGAATAGGCCATATATATTTATTTCTGCATCTTTTAGAAATCTGTGTATAGCTTTGTCTATGAAAAGTAGTGTTACAGTGAAAAGCTTCAGTAATTTAGCTCTGTATATTTTGGATGAGTTCTGTAGAGAAATTAATGGATATTTTAAAGGCTAAGTAGTTTTATATCTCAGTAGTTTTTATGTTTCATAAAAGTAGTTTTTATGTCTCAAGAAAAGTGTTGGCAAATTACTTTTTTGAAGACTGTACTACTAATATACACTGCTATTGAGAGTATTACCCATGTCAGACATTCCATTTTAAATTTTTTTTTGTGGCAAGGTACAGATAAGAAAATTTATTACCATTTTAACCATTTTTAAGTGTACAGTTCAGTAGTATTTAGTATAAACATCTTTGTAATCATACCCACCATCCATCTTCACAATGTTTCCTTCTTGCAAAGTGGAATCTGTACCCACTAAATAATAGAACCTCTTTCTTCCCATCTCACCCCCGTATTACAAACACAATTCTAATTTTTTGTCTATGAATTTAACTACTCTAGGTCACATTTGCCTAGTGACTGGCTCATTTCACTTACTGTTATGTTGCTGAGACTCATGCATGTTGTAGCATATAGAATTTCCTTCCATTTGTTCCATTGCATATGTTGTATATATCATGTTTTGCTTTAGTTCCTCTGCTAATGGACTGGCATTTGCTTCTGAATGGTGTTATTATAACTAGGTGTACAAATCTCTCTTCAAGATTCTGCTTTCAGTTTGGGGGGTGGAGGTATACACCAGAAATAGGATTGATGTATCATGGTAATTCTATTTTTAGTTTTTTTGAGGACTGCTCTACTGTTTATGATACATTTTTAACGGATTACAATCTCATCTTGTTACCATAATCTACATTTTTTGTTGGTAGCAGGGTTTCACCTTTTGCATTAACATTTGCTACATATGCAATTGATCCTTATTATTTGCAGTTTTATTTGTAACTACTAAATCAATATGATGCTTTCAGAGACTTGCCCTCATAAGCAGAGTGGCAGAAAATTGTAGTCACATACGTAAGTTACGCTTTCCAGCCAAGGTTGAATGGGGGCTACCTTCTGAGGCTCTCATAAAGAACATGGTCTACTCAGTGCCATGTTTCCAAATTTTAATTCATTTTGTTGGTGATATCACTATTTAAAATGGCCCCAAGCGCAGTGCTTGCTAAGCACAAAATGACTGTGATGTGTCCTATGGAGAAAGCATGTAAGGGGTTTCATTCAGTCATGAGTATAGTGCTGTTGGCTGTGAATTCACTGCCAACAAATCAATAATAATATACTACTATTATAGATAATGATAAATTATTATAAATAATACATTAAAAACAAGGTTATATGTTGAGTGGTCAACAAATAAAAAGTTGTATCTAGAAGGTATTCACCCAGGGAGCAGTTGCTTAGTCTTCAGTATTTATAGCAACTTATAGATTATAAATGGTACAAGTTACAAGACCTGACAGAACTTGTCTCTTACTTACTAGAACTAAGATTCCTTGGTCCTTAACCCTATTCCTCACATATCCCAGGTTCTCAGTATTTGACTGAATGTTTAGTTACTTACTAGTTACACTTATTCTTTTCTTGTGAATTTTATGTTCACCTCCTTTGCCCATATACTGATCCAGTGGTAATGTTCTTCATCTTAATTTATAGGTATTCTTTATATAAAATATCTTTTAATTTTCTTATAGGTCTGGGATAAGAGTGAAAGTGGTGATTGGCACTGTACTGCTAGTTGGAAGGTTAGTATTTATTTTTACATCAATGTAAAATTTTTTACAGTGATAAAAAATTGAAATGTTTATTATTTATTTGGAAGTATTAATAACTTAATGCTTTGAGAGAATTACAAAATTTATAGTATTTTCCTTAAGATTACTTTTTTTCCCACTATTAAAGTAACAGAAGTATACTTTAAAAATTTGAGAGTAAGAGAATTTATAAATCCATAGTGATATAAAATAATTTTTTAGCATTTTATTTCTTAGATGTCTTTTTCTATGTTTGTGATATTTCGCTTCTAGTTTTGAAACAGGCAGAGAGGGAAACAAGGCCGATGGGATGTGCCCAGGCTCTGAGACCAGAGAGCCACCAAAAAGCCCCAAAAGGCCAAAAGCCAAAACCGAGAGCTATACCTAACAAAGGACAGTGCCCGATAAGAGGACAGGTCACTGTGGGTTCTCACCCACGTGCACAATTGCAGGAGACCTCTGGCCTCAGGAACAACCACCATGGTGTTTATTTTACAAACAGGGGAAACAAAGAGCTTACTGTATCCACAAGTGGCGGCTGCCTCACCCAGGTAGCATCAGTGGTGGTCGCCATCGGTCACCAGGAGTGCTGGACAGCACTAGCCAGTAGTGCTGGCCACTACTGGCCTGCAGAGGCGGTGTCAGAGACACCCGGTGTTAACAGCTCTTTGTTATTGGGCTATACCAATAATAAATAGCTCTTTGAGGCACCAGGCCCATGGCCTTTGGTGTTCCTCTCAGGCAATATCAGAGAAAGGTCTGAGGCCCAGTCTGTGACAGAGTCCTTCAACTTCTCTCCCCTCCTTGGAGGGCGGCTGCTGGTTCTTCTTTTCTTCTTTCTTCTGAGGCTGGAACCATCTTTTTTCCTTCAGGGGTTGGTGGCATTATCTCTGGGCTGGTGTCATATCCCTCTTCCAGGGCTGGCAGTGTCTCTCCTTCTTATGGGGCTGCTGTTCTCTCTCTCCTCAGCTCCCTCCCACCCTGGCTTATATCCTCTTTCAGGGTGCCCCGCCTACAAATCTGATTGGACCATTTTTCAATCCTGTGGCTGATTGGACTACTTACCAATCAGTTCCAGCACCTCATTGGCCCATTCCACAACCCAGGAAATGCGCTTTACATGAAAGGTCTCTGAGGAGCAAAAGCCACAACCAACTTGTGGTGGAGCAGCAGGTTGAAAACACCACTGCTCATGTTGGCTCCCTTGGGTTTCAGTAATAGTTTCATTTCTTTTTATTTATTTATTTATTTATTTATTTATTTTTAGAGGCATGTTATTTATTTATTTATTTGTTTGTTTGTTTCGTTTATACATGCACTGGGTACAGTCAGAAGTGCGGGAGGGTGAGAGAATTCACCAGAGCCAGAACAGGGAGCAGAACAGGCAGAAGGACCGAAGTACACTGCTGAGGGGAGCAGCGGGCGGCAGGAGAGGTCTGCGCGCCATGTGGGACCCTCCTCTGGTGGCTGAGGAGCAGCCGGGGATCGAACCAGCACCGCAGAGGCCGCGGGCAGCTTCGCAACCCAGCGCTCAACTGCTGCGCCACCGGGGAGGCCCTCATTTCTATTTATTAAAAACAGCTTTACTCAGATACAATTTTATATGCTGTAAACATAAATTTAAAATGTATAGTTTAGGGATCTCCCTGGTGGCACAGCGGGTTGAGTGCAGCGCTGTGAAGCTGTCCGAAGCCTCTACAGTGCGAGTTCGATTCCCGGTGAGCCAGGGATATACCACATGGCGCTGCAGACCTCTCCTGTCTTGCTCATGGCTCCCTTCAGCATTGCTTTTGGTTCGTCTACCTGTTCTGCTCCCCGCTCTGTCTCTGGTGAGTCCTCTCACCATCTCGCGCCTCTGGCCTGTACCCCAGCTCTTGTATAAATAAATAAAAATCTTAAAAAAAAAATAAAATGTGTAGTTCGGAGAGTTTTAGTAAATTTATATAATTATGTATCCATCACCACAGCCTCATTTTAGAAACCACCTATCAACCTGATATTTTTGTTGTGGCCCTTTATAACCTCTTAATTGTTTTTTGTCTATAGTTTTAGTATTCCTAGATATTTCATGCAAATGAAATCCTAAGATTTTGTGTATTACTACTTCCCCTTAGCATGTTTTTGAGGTTCATTCATGTGTAGTTTGTGTCAATAGTTTGTTTCTTTGAATACCAAGTGGTGTTCCATTGTACAGCTAAATTCACATTTTGTTTATTCACTAGTAGATACACTTTTGAACTTTTTCTAAGATCTGGCAGTTACGATTAATGCTTTTATGAACATGCCATTCAGTTTTTGATATGTTTTCATTTCTCTTAGATACCTATGGGTGGAATTGCTAGGGTAATATATATTTGACATTCTAAGAAACTGCCAAATTCTTTTCCAGAGTTTCTGTACTGTTCTATATTCCCACCAGTGTGTGTGCGCGCTTTCTTTTTACTGTGTATGTATTTATATACAGTATATACACATATGAATATGTATGTGTTTATAGTATACACACATGCATTTAAGCATATATACATATCATATACACATATACATGTATATATTGGGTTTTGTTTTTTTTTTAAAGATTTTATTTATTTATACATACAAGCACTGGGTACAGTGAGAAGTGCGGGAGGGTGAGAGAATTCACCAGAGCCACAGCGGGGAGTAGAGCAGACAGAAGGACCGAAGTACACTGCTGAGGGGAGTAGCGGGCGGCAGGAGAGGTCTGCGCGCCATGTGGGACCCTCCTCCAGTGGCTGGGGAGCAGCTGGGGATCGAACTGGCGCTGCAGAGGCTGCGGGCAGCTTCGCAACCCAGCGGTCAACCGCTGCGCCACCAAGGAGGCCCCTATATTGGGTTTTGATTGGTTTGTCTTAGTGATTAATGATCATTATTTTTTCAAGTGCTTGTTTGCCCTTCATATATCTTCTTTGGTGAAGTGTCTACCCACATCTCTCCCTCCTTTTAAATTGAGGTGAGAGTCACACAAGATAAAATATTTCAAAGTAAACATTCATTGACATGTACTACATTCACCGGATTGTATAACTACTGCCTCTGCCTAGTTCCAAAATTTATTACTCCAAAAAGAAACCCCTATTTCTAGCTTTTTAGCTTAACATTAAAGTACTTTTGCATGTTTTTAAACACTCTGAAAGTATATATATGGCAGTAAAACAAATATACCAGTAAGTACACTGTTCTGCTTGTTTCTTTTTATTGTGATGAATATCTTTGGGCAAATTTACTCTTTACTTAAATTACACTGTATTGGAAATCTAATACAGAATCTATCTACTTTAGTACATTTTTAGCTTAATAGCCTATATAAATAAGAATGAAAGGTGAAACCAAAAAATGGACAATATAAAGGATAACAAAATAAAGATGCAGTACTTACCTTTGGATGCTGAAATTCTTACCATGCTGAAATTATTGGGTTATAAAAACATTCTGGGATTATTGAGTGTAAAATTGTTAGCTGTGTAGAACATGAAACAGATTTGTAGACATAATTGGTGGACTGATGCTTATTATTGTCATATAGTAGTTTACCAGAAAACAGTAAATTTGTTGATATGAAATGCTTTAAGATCTTTGTTTTTCCCTTTTTCCCTTTTTTTTTTTTTTTTGGGCGAACATGAAGAACAGTTATTGGACATTGTATGTCAACGTAAAATTATTTTTTCAGAATACAAGTATTTGGGCTTCTTTATATTTTTATATTCATTGGACCTCTTTTCTTAGAGGAGTCCATTTTCTAGCAAGACATCAGCTAGAATTGTTTTAAGCATTTGTTTACTCCACATTTTAAATACTGCTAGGTTTTTGAACTAGATAACTTTAATTAAAACTATCATGTTAGTGGCTGTTTCCAAAGAAAGAATTTGCAAGCAAAAATTGGGAGACTGGTAGTACTTCTGTTTAAAAGCTTAGTTAGGCTTAACTCTGAGGCAAATTAATATTAGAACTAAATAGTCAACTTTATTTGGCTGGATTTTTTTTTTAAAAAAGATTTATTTATACAAGAACTGTGGTACAGGTCAGCAGCGTGGGAAGGTGAGAGAATTCACCAGAGAGAGCTGGGAGCAGAATAGGCAGACAGATTGAAGACACTGCTGAGGGGAGCTGTGGGCGAGGCAGGAGAGGTCTGCCACGCCATATGGGTTCCTCCCTGGCTGACTGGGAATCGAACCTGTGCTGCAGAGGCTGCAGACAGCTTTAAAGTGCAGCACTCAACCCACTGCGCCACCGGGGAGGCCCTGGATTTTTCTTCATGAGTGAAATTAGTAAAAGAACTTGACTCTAGAAGTACCGCAATCCTAAATATAGCATATCTTCTAAAGGTTAAACAATTATAGTCTTTAGTTTTTATTTAAATGTCAAATTGAATATCTTTCTCTTCTTACTGAAGTAAAAATATCTGTATTTTATTTCTCTTCAGTTAAAACCTTGTATGTGTGAAATCTGACTAAACTCAGTTCTTTTCTATTTTTTAATTCCTCAGACACATAGTGGATCTGTGTGGCGTGTGACTTGGGCCCATCCTGAATTTGGACAGGTTTTGGCTTCCTGTTCTTTTGACAGAACAGCTGCTGTATGGGAAGAAATAGTAGGAGAATCAAATGACAAACTTCGAGGACAGAGTCACTGGGTGAGGCATTTATTAGTTCGGGCAAGGTTGGGTCACACAAGATGGGTATTAATCTTTCCAAGAACCCTTCAGGTACTGGTTAAGATGTTTCCTCTCTCCTTTGTGTTTCCCAGTTCCATTTCTCTTTCTGTGCTTTTCTTCTACTTGTTTATTTGATTTTATCTTGGGCCTGAAATGGTACTCAGGAGCATGCTTGGCATTAATTTTAACTTTCATGATGAACCCAGAGTATTTGCTTTGTCATACAGTGCCTCCTTTAAAAATTGTTTATTCTTTTTTATGGTTTCCTTTGCTTTCTTACAAAATCTACTGTATATTATCTGCGTCTACTTTAATTCTAGCTGTCCTTGATTTTGGATGTTTGAATTTAAGCAAGAACGTAATGTGTGTGTTACTCAAGTTCCTCATTTTAATGAGAGAATTGAACTAGATGATGTTTTCATGTTGTTTATTTTTCATAATAGTCACAAAATATAAAATTCAAGATATAAGAGAGTGAATGTAGTGAGAACTTATCCTTCTCTCCCTAGAATCAACCACTATCACAGGTTTTTATGTACCCTTCTGGGTATATTCCATGCCTCTATAACAACATAAATACAGTGTTTAGCCCCTCAAACCCTCACACTAATTCTAGCATGCTGTCAATACTTTGTTTTTGTTGTGTGTTGCATTTTTCTGTTGTAGCAAACTATACATAATGCTAATATTTATCATTTTAACTGTAAGGGTATAGTTCAGTGGTATTATTTTCACCCTGCTGTGTACCCATCATTGCTATCTATACTAAAACTTTGTCATTTCTTAACATAAACTTTGTACCATCAAATAATACCTCCTTCCTTTGTCCACCCTTCCCCACCACAGTCCATGGTAGCCTCTCTCCTGCTTTCTGTCTGATTTGCCTGTTCCAAGTACCTTATATAAGTGGAGTCATACAATATATTTGTCTTTCTGAGTTTGTGTTGGAGCAAAATGTTTTCAAGGTCTCCCAGTGTTGTGTATATATCAACTTCATTTCTTTTATGGCTGAAAAGTATTTCATTGTATATTTATACCACATTTTTTTAAATTCATTCATTCATTTGTGAATGAACAGTTGAATTGTTTCCACTTCATAGTTAATATAAATGATACTATGAGCAGTGGTGTATAGATACTTGTTTGAGATCTTTTAATTCCTTTTAAGGCGTAGAATTATTGCTTTATATGGTAAGTCTATGGTTAGCTTTTTGAGGGACTGCTGAACTGTTTTCCACAGTGGCTATACAATTTTATATTACTACCAACAATGCACAAGGGTTCCAGTTTTTTCACATCCTCATCAACATTTGCTATTTTCTATTATAGTGATCCTTGTGCATGTCAAGTAGTAGCTCATGGTTGTGAATTGTATTTACCTAATGATTAATGATGTTGAGCAAATATTTTTATGTGGTAATTGGTCATTTGAATATATTATTTTGGAAATTGTCTATTATGTCCTTTGCCCATTTTTAAATTGGGTTGTTTGTTTCTTTGTTGTTGAGTTGTAGGACTTCTTTGCATATTCTGGATATTAATCCCTTATCAGACACATAATTTGCAGTTATTTTCTCCCATCCTGTGAGTTACCTTTTTACTTTCTTTATAGTATCCTTTGATTTACATGTTTATATTGTTTGATTTATATGCTTATATGCTTATATACTTATATAAACATATGTTTATATTGTCATATCCAAGATATCCTTGTCAAGTGTAGTATCATAAATACTTTCCCCACAGATTTCGTTGAGTCTTACAGCTTTAGCTTATATTTAGGACTTTGATCATTTGTGTTAATTTTTTTATTTTTTAATTTTTTTATTTGGTATAAGATAGGGGGTCCAACTTTATTCTTTTGCATATCAATATCTTTTAATTGAAACCTCCTATTGAAAAAACTGTTCTTTTCCCATTGAAAGGTCTTGAGATCACTGACCATGTGTCGAGAGTTTAATTGGGTTGTTTGTTTCTTTGTTGTTGAGTTGTGGGACTTCTTTGTGTATTCTGGAGAGTTATGTTTTAGACTCTATTCTATTATCCTGTATGTCCCAGAACCATGATCTTTTAAATTTTAATTTAATGGGAGCATGTAATTTTTTGGGTAAATGGTTTTGTGTTCTTTAGATAGATGCCTAGAAGAAGGATTGCTGAATAGTGTAGTCTTTCAATCCCAGTGTAACTTTGTAGGTTGCATAGTTTCAAACTTTTTTATGTTTTGTTTTTGGTCTTTGTTTTAAGGTGTCATGAGTTTGTCTCATTGCCTTTGTAGTAGGGTCTCCCTAAGGCAAACAACTGCTTACAAAAAAGGAGAGAAAGGAAATTTATAGAACAGAAGGGATTTTACTAGTGGTCATTTGGAGACAGTATACAGTAAGTATACTACAATTTGGTTTAGGAGTGACGGCATATATAAGATTTTTTTTGAACTTACTTGTATTTAGTTAAGTCAACTGTCATTAATTCATTTAATTTCTCAACATTCGTAGTAGTATTAATTACTGTTTGGTCTGGACAAAAATTTGCAAAGGTGCCTTCTTTGAAGTTTATGTGATATTAATACTGAGACTTCTTTTTTTTTTTTTTTTTTTTAAAGATTTATTTTTTTTATTTATACAAGCACTGGGTACAGTCAGAAGCGCGGGAGGGTGAGAGAATTCACCAGAGCCAGAGCGGGGAGCAGAGCAGGCAGAAGGACTGAAGTACACTGCTGAGGGGAGCAGCGGGCGGCAGGAGAGGTCTGCGAGCCATGTGGGACCCTCCTCCGGTGGCCGGGGAGCAGCCGGGTATCGAACCGGTGCTGCAGAGGCTGCGGGCAGCTTCGCAACCCAGCGCTCAACCGCTGCGCCACCGGGGAGGCCCAATACTGAGACTTCTTAACATATGTTTTAGGAAATGTAAAGAATAAGTGGTTGATTTCTAAATTTTATTAATGTTTTCAGTCAGATGTTATCTTATGTAGGTGCCAGAAAATAGTTTCTAAATATTTCATTGAAATTCTATAGTTATCATAAGCCTGCTTTGTATCCTTTTTTTAGTCTTTACTAAATGCCGTCCGTAAAAAGTGGATAGAGGTGGTCCAGGTAGAGTTAACTGACATTTATGCTTGAGGGACTATATTGCATGTTTTCTATTTTACTTTTAAGAATCTCAGTTCATTTTATTTAGTGTTTACAGTATACTTTGCATAGCAAATTACCTATATGAAAATTCTCACATTTTCTGGTTTAGTGTCCAATCTGCCTAAGAGAGAGTGCTTACATAATTTAATAAAATTAGACTTTTTAAGGTCAATTTTCTTCTGCCTTAAATGGAGTAATTAATTATAGGTTACTAATTTGTTATTCATCAAAAACTATGTATGTGGTGTTTTGCCAAGTGCTTTGTCGGAAAATTGAGGCCTAGGTAAGTTTTAAGTAACTGTGATTCAGAGTTACCCAATAAATGGCAGAGGAGTGCTTTGTGATTTCAGAGCATGTGTTCGTTTTGTATATAATTTAGTTGTTCATTTCTTTTTTCAGGTTAAGCGGACAACTCTAGTGGATAGCAGAACATCTGTTACTGATGTGAAATTTGCTCCCAAGCATATGGGACTTATGTTAGCAACCTGCTCAGCAGATGGTATAGTGAGAATATATGAAGCACCAGATGTCATGAATCTTAGCCAGTGGTCTCTGCAGCATGAGATCTCATGCAAGCTAAGCTGTAGCTGTATCTCTTGGAACCCTTCAAGGTAAGTTTAGACCTTTGGTAGTATAATTCTAGTAAAACAAATTAATAATTTTATACTAAGCTTTGGATTGTTTCTTTTTTCTATTTTATTTTCCCCTGTGTTGAGTTTGATAAAGCTAGGCCTGGCCTCAAAAGAGTTCCCAAACTACTGATAGTGGGTATTAGTGTGAAAGAATCATTGCTCCATTTTTGCTTCTAGAAAAAGCATCCTTGAAGAAAGTAGGAAGGTGAAATGAATGAGCAAGTAAAAAAATATTGATGCAATGAAAATAGGGACATAAAAAAGAATGATAGTTGGAAAGGAGAAGCACAATGTTAAGGGTCTATAGTACCTCACAGAGTTCAAACAAAGCCCTAACATTGTACCACATACTCCTAAAACACTCTGTGTGTATTATCTCTTTAATTCTCATAATAGGTGTTCTAAGTTCTGTTACTACAAGTGAAGAATCTGAAACTTAAGATTAATTAATTTGTAAGTGGTAATGCTTGCACTTGAAAGCAGACATTATGATACCAGAGCCTGAATCTGTCATGAATTTGGTCACTGTAGGTTTACTTTTCATTCCTTAGTCAACAAATAAATCTTTCAGGAGGATAAGTTCTAGTATCTCTTTGGTGTCTTTTTTTTTTTTTAAACTGTCAAATGCTTGAAACCTCTACTTTAAGGGAGAAAGCTTTTGTTTTTGTCCATAAGGAGATGCGGTAAAAATATTACAGAAGGAGGGAGCCTTTGTTTCCAGATTGAGCATTCTCAAAGACACTATATCTAAGATGTGGCATTGGATGATGTATGGCCGGGATCTAGTCATCAGTGGTGACATGCTGACTTGTAGGTTGTAGTAGAACTGCTTCACATAAGCTTTTTTTTTTTTTCAAAGATTTATTTATTTATGCATACAAGAACTGGGGTACCGGCCAGAGGTGTGGGGGGTGAGAGGAGTCACCAGAGACAGAGTGGGGAACAGAACAGGCGGATTGACTGAAATACACTGCTGAGGGGAGCAGCAGGCTAGTCAGGAGAGGTCTGCTGCTCCTTGTGGGTGGCTCCCTGCTGGGAACTGAACTTGTGCTGCAGTGGCTGCAAATAGCTTCATAGGTTGCGTCTTAACCCCTTGCACCACCAGGGAGGCCCACATCAGCTTTTTTTGAAAATTTTCTGAATTTAATTTATATTAATGATGTCACATATGAGATATTTTTTATTCTTCATTTCTAGCTCTCGTGCCCATTCCCCCATGATAGCTGTAGGAAGTGATGACAGCAGCCCAAATGCAATGGCCAAGGTTCAGGTCTTTGAATATAATGAAAACACCAGGTCAGTACTGATTTGCTTTAATTATTCAGAATTGCATTTATTTCTTTAATGTTATTCCTTTATTTACTGAATGATGCATTATTAATTACATATTTGCTTCTTTTGTATGATAGGCCAAGTTCTGCCCTTGATTCTGATAGTACAGAATTGAGTGATCTAAGAGAAGTATTCTCACTTACCAGTATATACCCTCTTTGAGGAAACAAAACTTTTTTAAAATGGATCAATTTTGTAAACTGGGAGAATCACGATGTTCCAAGTTTAACCCGGGTGGACCTAATTTGGTTTAAAGGGCCAGAAAGGTTCACCCAAAAGAAGACTATAGGATAAGTAGAAATTAGCCAAAGATGACAACAGTATTCCCAGTGGAGAAAACTGCTTGTGGCAAACACATGAACATAAGAACTGACATATTTCTGCCGTGATTGGAACTTAATAGGTATAGGGGGTATAGTGAGAAACATGTAAGTTTCATATCTGTGTGACCTCATGTTCAATGTTCAGATTTCATCTCAAGGGTAAGGCCTTTGATAGATAGATTTTTGTATTTGGGAATAACAGGGATCACATGATGTAACTCTTCCATAGGTGTGGAAAGTATTTTGGAGGGAAGCATGAGTGGATTTTAAAACTAGGATGCTGTTAAAATAGAGGAGGTTATAGTAGCTTTGAAATAGAGTACTGGAGTGGGAACTGAGAGAATTGGACAGTTGGAGGACAGTTTAAGAAGTGGTTATCAATGGGAACTGGTGATTGACTATGAGAGGTGAAGGGAATTGTGAAGATGATTTTCAGTTTCTGGCTAGTATGTAATTTCTTGAGATAAAGAACTCTAGAAATGGAAGATTTGGGATGAATATAGAAGCATGTGTAAAAAAAATTAATTTCAGTCACCTTGAGATATCTATAACCCTCTGAGAACCATAAGTACAGTGTTAGATGTATTCAGAGTCTTATGGGAGAAAAGAGCCCCTAGTAGGTTTTCAGGTGGGCATCACATGTGCTAGCCAAAATTCTTAAGTCTGGTAGTCAGATATTGGGTAGGGCAAGAAGCAGAAGAGAAGTACACCGAAAACCCGTTCAATGTTGTAAACAAATTTCACCTCAATTTCAAAAAAAAAAGAAGAGAAAAAACTGCAGAAGAACTAATATATTTCCCATTGGCTCTACAATTTAGGAAGTTACTATTTGGGTTTTTAAGCGTTCCTTATACCTGCCTTCTGCTTTCCCAGATTTTTTATTTCTTCAGAAATACTGTGTCTACAATGCTGGTGTCCATTAGAACTTGGTGCCATGATAGAAAATGGTCTATAGCTGCACCATTTAATGCAGCGGCCATTAGTTTCACAAGCTTTTGAAACTTGAAATGCAGCTACTGTACTGAGGAATGAGTTTGTAAACTTTCATCAATTTCAATTTAAATAGACATATCATTAGTGACTAAATGTATTGACTCACACAGTTGAGAATATAGGAACCTTTCTCTAGAACTTTTTGTGATCTTCATAGCCTCTTAACTTATTGATACTATGAACCACATTAATAGCATATCTTGAAGAGGCTTCCTGAAGCCTTCATGTTATTACTGTCATTTCTCAACCTCAACTGAGCAGAAAGACTGTGGGGACCTTAATCTAAAATTTAAAAGGTTACCCATTTCTAAGTCACAGGAATAAGAGGAAATAAGATTTGGGCAAAGGATTAAAACAAAGCTTATCAGTTCTGAAAGAAAATACAGATAGAAAGTACCTGAATACTTGAAAGAATCCAGTGATAAAGATAATCCAAGGTTGTTTTTGAGTCTCTTAGCTAATAGAATAAATCTAGATAAGGGACTGATTGGCTATGTAATCTGTATAACAAGGAACCTGGAGATGCAGCAGTTCTGGGGATAAATTACTTGATTACTCAGTGATAATAACATCCAGGACTTCAGTATTTTCTTTGTTTTTTTTTTGTTTTTTTGTTTTTTTTTTGCTGTCATCCTTAGGATTTTAGGATCTTAAGAGCAGTTCCAGATTTCATATGCAGATATAATGAATCACCTTTCCTTTAAGGTGTCTTTTTATATATTAGGGAGAGAAAAATATTTCTGGTAGGCTTATCATGAGATCCTGTTGACCAGAGTAGGGTCACTTAACCCATGTGTTAGCTATAGGAGTATTAGATAGCAATTTCTTTATCGAGAATGATGGGGAAGTAACATTGGGTAGGTAACAATGTTTGCTTGGGAGTGAGTATGGGATTGATTTAGGACTGGAGATTGGCTCTTTTTGCATTTCTTGGTCTGGTTCTTTGAGGTAAGAGTTGTGTGAAGGTTCTTACATATTACTAGATTAAACATGTTACATGGAGGATTTGTGTGATAGAGGACTATGTAACATCCAGTTATTAATACTTATATTTTTATAAGTATTAACAACAGTTAGTATACGGGAAGCATTTGTCAGTTAACCAGTATTGAATATTTTTTATTTCTATTGATGAATGGAAATATTAAAACAGACCTAGCCTTGATGATTGTAATGCAAGTTCATACATTTATGTACACTTTAACATATATTAGGAAATTTGAATTCTAACAACCACCTTATGAAGGGTGAAGGTAGTTGTCATTAATACCATTTTACAAATGAAGAATCCGAGATCAACAAAATAAAATGACTAAGGCCAAATATAGGAGTCAGAACCAAATAGTTGAAGCAAGAATATGGTAGACACATCTCAGAGTGATGATGTAAGATGAGAAAATGTCAATAAGAGAATGAGGTAAAATGTCTGCATTGGAGGTATTTTAGAAAGATGTTGGGTTTAAAAGACTATGTCGAGAATGCTGGACACCAATATTTCAGAGGAGGGTTGGTGGATAGGTGAGATAGGGACATCTCTCTAACCACTTCTTTATCACACACTGTTATGTCCCTGACAGTCATTCTGTGATCTGCCATCTCCTTCATTGTCTTTTTCTCTATTTGCAGATATAGAAATAGAATCATAAGGATAAATTAAACTCCCTTTTTTAAGGATTAAAGTATTTCCTTTTATCACCACTAAAAACTCAATTTATTGTTACCGATTTTATTACTCAGGAAATTTAGTTTTTTTTTATACAAGAGCTGGGGTACAGGCCAGAGGCATGGGAAGGTGAGAGGATTCACCCAGAGACAGAGTGGGGAGCAGGCCAGGCAGATGGACCGAAGACACTGCTGAGGGGAGCAGCGGGCACGACAGGAGAGGACTGCCGTGCCATGTGGGAATCTCCCTGGCCTGCCAGGAATCAAACCCGCACTGCAGAGGCTGTGGACAGCTTCACAGTGCTGCGCTCAACCCACTGTGCCACCAGGGAGGCCCTAGTTTTTCTTTTCTTAAAAATGATTTAGGGGCCTCCCTGGTGGTGTAGGCGGTTGAGTGCAGTGCTGTGAAGCTGTCCACAGCCTCTGCAGTGCGGGTTCCATCCCGGCTGGCCCTGGAGATACCCACATGGTGTGGCTGACCTCTTCTGTCTCACCTGCTGCTTCCCTCAGCAGTGTATTTCAGTCAGTCCGCCTGTTCTGTTCCCCGCTCTGTCTCTGGTGAATCCTCTCACCCTACCGCACATCTGGCACATCCGCACATCTTGTACCCCGGTTTTTATATGCATGAATAATAAATCTTTAAAAACATCAAAAAAAAAAAAACAACAAAAAATCTTACTCTAATTATTTTTTTAAAACCTGTTAAACTAAATTTTTAAAAATCAACAAGAAATCTGGGCGCTTGTATCTGTTTCTTCTATCTGCAGTAGCAAATTACCACAAAGTGGTAGCTGAATAAAACAGAAGTTTATTTTATTAACTCTGGAGGCCAGAAACCTGAAATCAGCATGTCAGGGCTGTGCTTCTTCTGAAATCCTTCCTTATCTCTTCAAGCTTCTCATGGATCTAGCAGTTCTTTGTTTTGGTTTGTGACAGATTACTCCAATTTCTGCTTTTGTCTTCACAGGGCCGCCTTCCTTGTGTCTCTGTTTCTTCTTTTCTGTCTTTTACAACAATACTGGATATTGGATTTAGGATGTAGCCTAAATCTAGGATGTTCTCGTACTGAGATTTTTAATCTGCAAAGACCATTTTTCAAATTAGGTCACATATACAGGTTAAGGGGCTTAGAACTTGAGCAACTGTTTCATTAAGGAAAACATTTTAATTGTGAGCAAGTTTCAAAAAGTTGAGATGTCTTGACATGAGAGTTTTAAAGTTTTTATTTCTGAAATTTTTGATGTAAATCGTTTCTTCACTAGGAAATACGCAAAAGCCGAAACTCTTATGACAGTTACAGATCCCGTCCATGATATTGCATTTGCTCCAAACTTGGGAAGGTCTTTCCATATTCTAGCCATAGCAACCAAAGATGTGAGAATTTTTACATTAAAGCCTGTGAGGTAAGTATCCCACACCATTTGTATGTAGTAATTAATTTGTAGTGTTCTTAACTCTTGATTATTTTCATTTGTAGACTAATATATCGAGGCAATTGATCTTAAGAGTGGATGCTATAATGAATTCTGTATATAAAATTATGTATAAATGCATGGTTTGGGAGATAGAGAATTGAGTAATGAGAGATTTTTGTTTTCTGAATTGTGTTTTATTTAGACTGATACTAACAGAGTTGAATGTTCTGTATATAATTACTGTTCTAAAGATGTTTGAATAAATGAGAGGGGGCAGTCTCCTTAGGAAAAATTAAATTAGCATTGAAACACTTGTGAATAACCTATTTAGCTTTCGTTTTGAATTGTGAGTTTCAGTTCTTTTTCTTTCATTTTTCCATTCCTACTGTCTCTTTTTAAATTATAATCCATTTTATTCCTCAACATTTTTTTTTTTTGATAGTAACAACATGTTTATTTTTTCCAGTCGAGGATACAAACACAGCATTTCTTAATTTAAAGAGAATATGAAAACATCAGGCAATTCCTAGAGTAATACTACAAACACAGCCTTCACCTACAGTAAAAATGAAGCCATTCAGTCATTTTGGTCATCATCCCAGTCCTTCTTCCCACTGGGAGGTTTGGGCCCACCGGCTCTTTTTGCCATAATGATCTGATCCACTCTAAGTACAGTGACAGCAGCATTAGTAGCCAGCTTGATAGCCCAGTATTTCCCCAGATAAGTATCTAGAATGCCTGCTTCCAACATGTCCCTTACAGCAGGAACTTCGGCCTCAATATCCAATCCAAAATTTTTATTTCCTTCTTGATGTACTGCATAAAGTTTAGAGATCACTTCATTGGCTTTAACACCAGAATTTTCTGCCAGTGCCCGAGGTTATTCCTCAACTTTTTGTTTGTTTCTAGTTACTGAATATCATTTTTGTGATAGGATCATGCCAGGTAGTAAGATGAAAGTGACAGTGACCCAGCTCTTAATGAGCTAATGGTGGGAGGGGCAGCGAGACTTATGGATATGCACATTATTATAAAGTAATAGGCAAATATGTGAAACCATTTGCAATTTTTAATTTAGTATTTATGTCTGTATGTATACATATACACACACACATATATAAGTGTATATCAAACAAAAGTCTTGAGGAAATTTTTGTTGTTGTTAATAGGAAAGAACTGACTTCCTCTGGTGGGCCAACAAAATTTGAAATCCATTTAGTGGCTCAGTTTGATAATCATAATTCTCAGGTGTGGCGAGTGAGTTGGAATATAACAGGAACAGTGCTTGCATCTTCAGGAGATGATGGCTGTGTACGATTGTGGAAAGGTAAGATCTCAGTGAAGAAATTGCTTATTTAGCTACTTTAGAATTTTCACTTAGAAATGTAAGCTGCATATTTTGAAAAAATACGCAGTACTTCTAGTAAAAAGATACTGTTATATGTGTAACTTGTGTGACTGCTTTTCACACACAGGCTAGGACTACAACCATGCCTTATTTTATTAAATAATGCTTTAGTCAACCTGCCCTTAATAGGAGGAAATCCAGTATCTTTCCCACTTTACTACAACTTCTGAAAGTTAAAAAAATTGGGGGGTCGCTAATTGTAAAAGTTTCTTAGAAATCCCAAGCTAAGAGAGAATTCAGCTTGGTCAGTTGACTGTGGTTGCAATAGCATTCTCTGTGCTTTCCCAAGAATATGTATCTACTGGGCCAAGGTGTCCCTAGCCTCCACACCAACTGGAGTGGGTGATGTCCCATACTTAGGATCCAAAATTATAGCTCAGTTTACCCTGCACAGTTATTTTTTTCCAAAAATGCAGTTTGGCTAGGCTTGTAGACCTCCCAGGTTCAGTTTTAGGCTATGGCTGAACCTGTGCAGACTTCCTTTTTGTAGGTGTAATTTGATTTCAAGGGCTTTTCTACCCTTGCCTGCCTCTGGACTTTACACAATACCACCCAGCTCTACTCCAAGTGGCTCTCTGACTATGGTTTTCTGGGCTCATTTTCTCCAATGGTTAATTTCACATTAAAAAATTAGGCTGTCTCAGATAAGCCACTCAAACCCCCCAAATTTTGTTACCCATATCCATCTCTGAAGATATTAGTTACTTAGGTTTATAATTGGGAAACCAAGAAAGCACCTCCATTACCCGATATATATGTGTAAATTAAATTTATTAAAGTGGAGACAAAAAAATTATTTTGATAGTAACTTCATTATGTGATAATATGTTAGCTTAGAGAATTGTCTCTGTTAATTCTATCTTGAAGGGAAATAGTTGCTCAAAGCTTTATGATTTTTAAATTACTAAGTTTTCTTATTTTCAAAACTAATTAATGCTGAATTATATGTTCTTTATTTTAAAAATATCTTGAACTTTTTTTTTCTGAGAAATGTAGCGCTTTCTCATTTTATAAATTGTAGTTTAAGGACATGAACACAGATTTGTAGGTATTCATCATGCTAATGTATTTGATCATTTTCCTTTCAGCAAATTATATGGACAATTGGAAATGTACGGGTATTTTGAAAGGTAATGGGAGCCCTGTCAATGGGAATTCTCAGCAGGGAAACTCAAATCCTTCCCTAGGCTCAAATACCCCAAATCTTCAAAATTCATTAAATGGATCTTCTGCTGGCAGGTAGGCTGTTTTGTGAGAAAATTAGAAATTACCTTCTTTTTATATCATTCTGGTAGCCCTACTAGAATGGATTTTAAGATTGAATGAAGAAATTTACACATAATTATGAATTATGTTTTAAAAGTGATAGTGTTTGGCTTGCTTGGTCATAATATTTACAGGTAAAGTCATTAAACAAACCAAATTTTATTCTGAAATGTGGTGGTCCATCAGACATGTTTATAACTTTTAAGATTTTGCTTTGCTTCTGAATTAATTGAAGAAAGAACATAAGGGATAATACTAAGGATTTTAGTTCTAGATAAGTATTAGTGTTTTAGTACTGGTGGTGTGTCCTTTGAATCAGTTCATATTGAAATTTTAAATAAGATACATCAAAAAATCTTGTAGAAGAGAGGGCAAGAATGAATTAAATAGTCTGGCTTGTGCTTTTAAAACTTTAATGGAGATTATAAGAGGAGATGAGTTACTGATTTTTAGAATTTTTAGCATATTTTAGATTCTTGTTTATCCTAATAAAAAATGTTTGATGTGATCTAAAGAGTCATTTGTTTTCATATTCAAATTTCAAATGTGTGTGTGTAAGTTAAAATTTTTTAATATGCCTTTGTGAATAATTTGGAATACAATTCAGGAAACTTCAAAGCAGTGCTTTAACAACAGCTGTCCTGTGTTTTCCCTGTTGTCATCTTAAAGAAGAAAATTGTATTTAAAATTTCCTCATCTATTTTTATATTGTTATATATTTATAAAGAAGTCCTATTTGATTTTGAGGTTTTAAGTATTTACATCAAAACAATTTTAGGTAACCATAGAATATAATCAAACGATAAAATGATTTCATGTGTCTAAGTAGACTAGAGTTAATTTTTAAAAACCTGATGTTTGGTTGCTGTTTGTAGTACACATTTTGTAAAGAGCTTTGAAGTTTTGATTTGTATTCTTACTGTGCCAATAACCTGTGTGTTAGATCTGTGATGCATTTTCCCTTCTCCATTTGTATTATGTCCTTTAACAGAAAGCACAGCTGAGTACAAGCTAACTGGAGTAACTTTGCTGTTTTGCTGCTTGTTGCATGCACACAGGAATGGAAAGCGAGCTCCTTTTCCCCTTCCCCAGCACCGTTTGACCTCTCCCAAGATACACCAGCAGCCTGCTTACTACTAAACGCAATCCAAAAGGCCTTTAAAAATACAGTGTATATCATTTTTGGTACTAGCTAGTTTATTGACACTATTTGAAAATTTTGAAATAGAAATTGAGAGGCTTTTTGTGAGATAATGTCACCAAAACAATTTTTTGAAATGTTCCTGAAAGTAACAAGGATTTTAAAATTAAAAGGACTGTTACCATCCTTATAAGTAGTTGGGAGGAGGGAAATTTTACTTTATCCCATTTGGAGAATACAGGCTTATTTCTTCTGTTTTCTAAAATAGTAAACTAAAATGATGAATTTTTATAATTTTAATTTGAAGATTGAATAAATATTTTTCATAAAGATTGTTTTGAGTGCTAATTTGTTTACCTTTTGTAGAATTGGTTTATACATGTTATTTCAATATAACTGTCATTTCTTATGTAATATTTTAAAAAATATTAGTAAAGGAGTGAGACATTTACTAGTAAAAAATGAAAGTGATTTGACTGTACAGTTTGTAGCCAAATTAAACATTTGGTATTGCTTCATTTATAGTTTGATAGTAAAATGGGAAAAAAAAACCTTTGTAAGTTTTCAATTTATAAATTTCACTATTCACTAAAGAGATAAACATTTATCTAAATGTGCTTGTATATTTTTATGGTGTGATTCCATGGCTTTAAGGATTTCCTTCAGATCATAATTTGGAAACATTATGCGAGAAGAGTTAAATTTTGCTAAAATCGTGCATGCACGTTAACTTTATGGCTGATTCCATGTCGCAGGATTTTCATTATTTAGTTGGCTGCTTCATTTAGTTCATAGGACTCTGACCTTGATGACAGAGCTATAATTCTTAAGTTTGCAAAAATGCACAAGAATTACGGGTAAGTTATAAGATGGCAGAATCACAGTAGGACATATTATTTGTGCCCTTTTACTTACCAAATTTTATAGCTATTCTAAGGTTTTTGCAGAAAAACAGCTAAGTATGTGTAAAAATTGTGTTTCTTCAAAAGTGTGTTGTAATAGCCTAGCCATACTATGTGAAAGTATATTTGAATTGGTTCTCAGTATCATGTATGCACTAAAAAAATAAGTGCTTGTTGCTGCTACTACAAATGAATCATTGCTTAAAAATAAAGAAAAAGCCTATTAGGTGTGTATATTTATGGGATAGCATCAAATATGTTCCTGAAAGATTATAAAATGTTTTAAATTATAACACTTTCTTTGTAACAGTCACACTAATAATTTTTTTAACATTTTAAGTTTAACAGATTGTATTTTTTTCAAGTTTCTACACTTAAGCAAACTTGATTTGAGTGAGGGTCTTGATTTTTGCTATTATGTTCTGTTAGTTTTGGCATGAAAATACTAAAGCTTTTTTTTTTTCCAGCATGTGTTTTCTCCTCTTTGGTTCTCTTTGTATTTACTACTTTTCTCTTTTTCTTCTGTTTTTTCTTTTCTTTTTTTTTTTTTTCCCTGTTTTTGTTTTGTTTTGGTGTGTTGTTTCTGTCTTCATTGTTTCAGGTATTTCTTTCCCCCTCTGGATTCCCCACGGGCTGGATCGAGATGGTCCAGTTATGCCCAGCTCCTTCCTCCTCCTCCTCCTCCTCCTCTGGTAGAGCACTCTTGCGATGCTGACACTGCCAACCTCCAGTATCCTCACCCTCGCAGATGATCTCTCTCTCGGCCTCTTAATCCCTTACCTGAGAATGAAGGGGTTTAAAACACTGATTTAACACTTAAAGGCCTTATTCAAGTGCTTGTAAATGCTTTCATTCCTGGCTGCTTTTTGTTTTTCTTCCTTTTCTTTCAGAAGATTTTTCTAATTTAGGTTCTGTCTTGCATGTATTACAATCAGAACACAGTGTTTGGAACCTAAATGTGTTTGTGCTTCTGCATCAAAGGAACATTTACTTCATTGGTTGATAACCTTTGATGAAATGAGATTTGTTCAAGTTACATTAACTGTGAGAGTTACACATAGTAACTTCAAAGTGCCTGTTCTGTAAATTTTATTTTGAACTGTTATAGTGTTAAGCTTCTTCTTGCAGTTTGTCATACAGGTTAATGTGAAAGCATATGTCTGCCTTTGAGACATGGTAAGAAATTTTTTAATTTTGCAGGTAAATGTTGCCACTGACTAGTAGAATAAATCATTCCTGTGTACAAAGCAGCAAAACATAACGTGGACTGTTCTTTTTGTTTGTTTTTAATGAAATTGCCTTTTACTACTAGGAATTACTGCTGAAAGCATTTGTAATTCTCCAAGTAGGTTGTTTAATAAAATATATTTTAAAAGATTTGAATCTGTTGCCTTATAAAAGTAGAATGTATTTGATAGTTGGCTGATCTCCTTAAAACACCCTGTTGCTAAAAAAAATTTTAAAAAATTCCAAATAGTCAAAAATTGGGGCATAAGCATGACATTTATTTAAAGGGAAGCCAGTCAATATGTAGACAAACATCTAGAACTGGCAGATGTTGACTTTCAGTCAACATTAGAATAGATTATTCCCTAAAATGATACTTTTAAAATTGGAAATCAGAATATATTTGATAATAACTATGGCAAAATGATTAAAATTATGGAACTTAGTAAAAATCTCTGGTTCATTTTTTTCAGGAATTGTCAAAGATTTAACATTCAGCTAGAGTGAGAGCACTTCATCTGTATCTTTAGTTAATCATAGAAGATAGGATTGTTATAACTATTGTAATTTGTAATCTAATTTTCAAAGATAACTTTTCTGTGATAGCTTCATACTCTTAGAGCTTAATATGCAAAGGATAAAGAGTTGATACATTGTGTTCATTTAATGAACAATTGAGATTTGTGTCTTAATTAAAATGTTTGGTCTGTGAAGTCAACATTTTAGTATTTCAATGTGAGAAAAACTTTTTCAAATCTCAAGTTTTCATTCAGTAAAGGACTTGTTTTAGACTTGTAGATGTATTTAGGTTCAAAGCAAGAGGTTGAATTTAAGGCTGAATCAAGCTCAAAATTAAAATTCATGTCTTTTGTGTTTTCAGTAATCATAGAAGTTAGAATGGGCTTATGAATTGAAACAGATTTTCATTTATTGAATATTAAGTATCTTGCATGTGCCAGATATGCTGCTAAACATTCAGGGCTATCTAAAAAATAGGTAGTCTGCACGCAGTCATTCTAGTGGAACAAGGTAAATTACAGAATTCACAAGGAGTAACAAGGTTCAGCTTCATAATAAAGCTTGAAATGGTATAGGCATAAATGTGATTTCTGTGAGTTGCTCAGTTTTGCTGGGTCTCCCAATTATACAGGAAGTACATGTCATTAAACATTTTGGCTTTTTTTCCTCATCAAAAATACTCGTTTGAGCTGGCAGGATTTGGAAAGGATGTGAGAATTTTAACAGGTGAAATGGTCTAATGGAGGGATGATAGGACTTTTAGGAGATGCCCCACAGGGAAAAGAGGACAGGGTGTGTTCAGGCTGTTTATATTGGTTGATTGAAAGATTCATTTGGGGAACTAGTGGGAGATCTGGAATTAGAATTTGTCACATAGAGGCATTGGGTATTGATGGCTAGAGTTAACCATTTAAAGCAATTGGTAAAAGGGAGCAGGAATAATGGGAGATGCCTTTTTTTTTTTTTTAAGGTTTATTTTTATTTATGCATACTCAACTGGGGTGTAGTCCAGAGGTGTGGAGGATGAGAGAATTCATCAGAGACAGAGTGGGGAGCAGAACAGGCAATCTACTGAGATACACTGCTGAGAGGAGCAGTGGGCCAGACAGGAGAGGTCTGCCATGTGGGTTAGCTCCCTGGTCAGGGATCAAATTCAGGCCACAGTGGCTGGCAGTAGCTTGATAGCACTGAGACTTTAACCCCTGTGCCACCAGGGAGGCCCAATGTCTATCTTTTCTTTTTTTATAATTATCTGCTTCATTTTATTTTTAATTTTATATATAATTTATTTATATATATTTTACATTGTTCATTTTGCACAATGTTTGCATTCTTTCAGGTGTAGTCCCCATAGAATTCCCACCACCAATTCACCACTGCACCATCACCATAGTCCCTTGTGCTCCTCCCATCCCTGTTTTGATCTCCCTCCCGCCTCCCCTGCAGAATGTCTCTGATTTATAGTTGGCTGTTAATGTTTTTTTATTATTATAAACTGGGTAAGTTGCTAATTCCCTGAGAGTCATCCTTGGGCATGGGACTTCTGCAAGCTCTACTATCTAAGGAGATTTAGAATTCACTGGGCATTTCATTCAATTGGCAAGTAAAGTTAGAGGTAGTAGCTAATATTCATTGATTCTATGTGCCACTACTTTTCTAGATACCTTATGTAGATTAACTGATTTAATTCTCACTACAAACCTCTGAGTCAAGTGTTCTAATTATCCCTACTTACAGATGGAACAGGCAGATTCAAGCTATTAAAGTATTTGCCTATGATTGTATAGCTAAATGAGAACCAGGATTGAAGTCTATGCAGAGTTTGTTTGCTATCAGGCTCTCCTTTTCACAGATGCTTTGGATTATAAATCCTTGGCATTAGAATCCTACCAAGTTGCGGGGTATTGTGGGGAGAGGATTTTTGGTCATTTGATTTTTAAGAGGAGGAACACTTCCTGACTTGGGTGAATGGCTACCTGGAGTATGAACATATCCCAGCAGTTCACCCTATGTAGACAGTGGTGTAGATAGTTAAGATGCTTGGTAAAACAAGGTTAACTCATTACTCCTCAAAAGCATCCTTTCACTTACGGAGTTAAGTGTTCATGGTTTTTTCCAGATACTTTTTTTCAGAATTTGAAAATTTTTGAGATTTTTTTCCACTTTGAGGATTCAAGGGTACAATAGGGTTCAAGGTACAATATGAGTTTAATTAAACTCTTCAAAAAGAGATGTAAAGAGAAATGCAGAGGTATCACTGAATTTAACAGAGGCCAATCCTGATAAATTGTAACACGTGTTACAGTGCTCAGGACTTAGCCAGGTAATAGGGAATGAATTACAAGGTGTGACTTGAGGCGGTTTAAGGGAAGGAGAGACAGGATGGTTTTCAGGTGATAGGACAAACGAGTTTTTTGTTTCTATTTTTTGTAAGGCAGAGAGCAAGGAACCAGTGGAAAGCATATTCAGGAACTAGAGTTGAGCATATTTTGGAGGTGATAGAAAGTGACCATCATATAAACAAGTCTCTCCACCAGGCTAAAATAAGTTGGGACTATTAAATTCTGTTTTTTATTTTTTCCCCAAATGCCTAGTGCATCTTAAACATTCAATAACCGATGAGTAAATCAAATTAAGGAGTTATCTTTAGAATAAGAGGTACTCTCTCCTGAGCCTATGGGAGAAAATGTTGCAATAAAGTGAAAGGTGGAATGGAAGTACTTAGGGTTTGTGCGGATCACTTGTCAGCGGTAGGAGTTGAGGCCTTAGTAGGGTGGAGAAACGTGAGTTACTCGGGGTGTATTATGTTTCATTTCACTCCTTCCCACCCCAGAGCTATATTACCCCGTCAGACATTTAGGTGTAGCGCACTATTAGGAAATGTGTATTCGTAGGAGTGATTTTCCTAATTGAAGTCTCTTAGTAGCGTGCAACATGAGGAAAGTCGCCTCACATTTTGGCGCCTGCCAAACGGTGATGGGGAAAGATCTTTTTGCTCATGTAAAGACAGAACGGTACGGTAATGAGCTCCGTATTGGGTGATTTGTTCACCGGAAAGATTTCATGTGTAAGGTGAGTGACCGTGATTTGAGTTCCCGGGTAGAGTGAGGCCGCGCGTCCTCGGCGCGGCGGCGGCAGTGCGCGGCCTGGAGCCCGGCGCCCCGCGGTGCCCCACCCCTGCCTCCGGCCCCGGCTGCTTTCTCGCTTCGAATCCGGGGCCGCGCCGTCCGCTCCCAATCACCGGGCTCCCGCCTGCCCCGCCCCTTCGCGCCGTCCAATCCCAAGTCGACTGAACCCGACCCTTCGGCGGGGCTGGAGCGGTCGGGGACGCGCCGCGCGGGGAGGGGCCCGGGCGCTGCGCGGGAGAAGCCGTGCATGCGCACTGTCGCGGTGCCGGACGCTCTGTCGGCGAACTTCCCCCCCCCCCCCCCCCGCGTTCCGGCCGCGGCTTGGCGGGCTTCCACGCCGAGAGTCGTGCTGGGTCTTCGCGTGCCGTTCGGTGGGAGGCGGGCGAGTCCCCTCCCAGCGTGTCGGCTGCTGAGACGGTGGGGGCAGTGGCGGTTGGCGCGGGGTCGGCGGGAGGCGAAGGCTCGGACGGGGCGCCGGGCGCAGGCCGGGGGCGGGCCGCGGCACCCAGCCTGGCCCGGCTTAATGGCGCGCCCGTGGGGGCGGCCGCGCCGGCGGGAGACCGGCGAGCGTCCAGGCTCACGTCTGGTGCGCCGCTGCTCCGGAGGCCTCAGTGCTCGAGGGCCACCTCTTGAGTGCTTGGCCCCGGAGCTTTCGCTGCGGAGCGCTCGTGGGGCCGCAGTTCGCATCCGTGAGGTGCAGGGTTGTGTCCTCCCTTCTGGCTGAAGCGGACCGGTGGTGGAAAGTAGCTGAGTGCGGGGCGTCGGCTTGTGGGAACAGTGTTACTTCCCGATGTCACTAACTTCGGTTTTGGTTTTTTCTAGGCCTCCTTTCACATTTACTCCTTTCCCACAACCTTGCATCGGCTTATTTATGAACAGAATGCAAAATGAGATAAGCATGTTTGACATGGCTCTGCTTTTGCTTACTTTTAATTTCAGACTTTTGGTGAGACATGAAGCCCCTTTCGACGCGGTCGCTTGGAGGACAGCTGTTTTTATGATAGCATTGCATTTTGCTGTCACTATTTTGAGGTTATTCAACTGGTGTTTGTACCGTTCCAAAATCAGCTTTTTCTCCGAACTTCAGTTTTGTGGGCAAAGTTTACGGTAAGATCGAAAAGTTACATACTAAAAAACCTACCTTATTCTGAAGTTTATCTTAAAATACCAAGAGTGAAAATCAAGAGAGTTGGGGAACTTTGACTTTTTTCCCCCACAGCACATTCTTTTAAATGTGTTCAATTGTACTTGCAGACCTCCACTCAAGGAGGGCAGTAAATGATATTTAATATACCCAGAAATGTAACTGGAATAATTATAAGAAAACTGAAACACCAAATTTGAAGTTACTGTTTTAAGGAAATAGCAAGAGAAAGCCCAAAGAGGGCTACTTCGTTAAAATATTTACACTAAAGTTAAAAACAACATATTGTCTTCACTTTAGGTGATGAAGGAGGTGTAGGTACCGAAATACAGAAGGAAGTTAGGGAGTTTTCCCTTCTAGGAAAGTTATAGGAATGTGGTATGTGTATGGATAGTTTAGAACATGTGTAATCCTTTCCAGAAACAAGTGAGAGTAGGTATTAGATTACGTCTTGAGAGATTTTCCATGGGTTATGTTACTGTCCCATCCATAGCAGAGTCATATCCGAGCACTTAGTACTGTCTATCATAATTGGTAGGGATTCTCAGTTCCCTGAGGGGAGCTGCCTTTTTTATTTTTCAGTCCTAATACCAAATAGCCTTTCATGTTTTGTGTTTGATAATGACTGTTGCATGAATGATCCTTGCTTGGTATCTGATTTTCCTTGGTTTTGTCTCCTGCTTAATAGAGGTAACCCTTAAAGAGTGCAGCATATATTTTAATGTGGTTTGTGTATTTGTTGAAGAACCTAATGATTATAAGACTAGATGTGGGGAGACTGTAGTTCAAATTAAAAATTAATGGGTGGTAATCACTGGGATTATTGAAGTGGGTCTCAGCTCCTGAGGTATATTTGGAATTAAAAGCGTTAGAATTCTGTAACTAATTGATAAAATCAAGAGAGATCAAAATGTTCCCAGGTATCTGGCCTAAATAGCAAAAGAATAGGGAATTATATAGGTCAAAACTAAAGATAATAGGAGTGTACAGAGGAAAAATGATGTGTTTGATTTTATATTCATTGATTTTGCACTACTTGAGAGGCAGTCACAAGTAAGGAAGGTGTCAAAAAGCCACTTGGAAATAGTCTAGAGGTAGGGAGAGAAGTTGTGGCTGAAAGTGATTTGAAGATGAGGAAGGTCAGTGACATTAGTGCAGAGGAAAGAATACAACCATACCTGCCTGGGTATGAATCCTGCTTCATTTGTACTTTGTGGCCTGGAAAAGTCAGTTCCCTCTGTCTTTTGCAAATTTGACAAAGGGATTAGTCAAAGATGAGGCTGTTGTCAATCATTTATTCATTTCACAAATATTTGAGTACCTACTAAGTGCTAGGCATTGTGTTAGAAACAGTGATGGAAAGATAGGTGTGACTCCTGCTCTTAGGAAGAAATCTGTTTATTGGATGAAGACAAATAGTGGCAAGTGCTAGAAGAGTAATATTAACATGTTTGCAATAAACAGTGAGGTTACATTTGACTTAATGATTAAGGATCACTTCTCTTAGACAGTTAACAATTAAACTGAGGTGAATATCCAGAAAAAGCTAGTAGCTGTGCAAACATCTAGAAGAATATTCTAGAGAGCATCTCTAGAGCTAGATATTTGGGTGTTCTAAGGAACAGAAAAACCTGTATTTGGGGAGTGAGCCTGAGGTGGGTTAGACAATGAGATTGCTCACTGAACTTTCAGTAAAAGGTATATACCTGGAGAATTAATTATAAATTGGCATGAATAGAAACTTGGAAACTGGCTAGGAGACTTTTCAATTGGGTAGGATGGCAGTAGTGGAGACAGAAAGATAGAGAATGATTATGTTTTGCCCTGTAAAATGATCTCCTCCAGTAGATGCGTTTTGTTTGGCATCATTGATTTTATTAACTTTGACTTCAAATGTGCCTCTAATTTTCAGGACTGATCTCAGTATGTGGAGTCCTGTTATCTGACAGCACTTGCTCTTGAAGTTTACGTTTGAGAGCCCCAGTGTATAAGCTATTCATTGCATAGTATAAGATCTGAGCTCAAAATCCTGTGTATCCTTAACATATAAGGAGCAGACAGAGGAAGGGAATGTCAAGATGTCTAAGTAGTAATTTTGGATTCTTTTAAATACCTGACTTTGAAGGGTAATGAGAAGGTGGTGACAGGAAGCACAAATAAAGAATGGGAGCAGGTGTTCTGCTGCCTCTTTTCTTCTGTTGAGGAGTTTTGAACAAGTTTCTAGAACTCAAAAAGCGGAAAATAGAATTATGTAAGAGAGGGAAATGCTTGGGTATACTCTGGAGGGGGGGTGCTTCTATGATAGTTGGTGATGAATTTGCTGTGTATTGACATAATTTGAAAACACTCATTCAGCAAATTTATTGAGGGTCTACTCTGCAAAGGTACTGCTTTAGATAGGAATTCAGTGTTCAAATAATTCAGCAAATTTATTGAGGGTCTACTCTGCAAAAGTACTGCTTTAGGTAGGAATTCAGTGTTCAAATAACCTAAGTCACTGCCCTATGGCACTTATATTCTAATATGGAAAGAAACAACAGATAATGGAAATGGCATTGCATACTAGATAGTGATCAGTACTACCAAAACAAACCAACCAAGGCATAGCGATTGGCGTGCCTTGTTAGACATAGTTTGATGAGGTAAGAACTGACAGGGGAGTGTACATTACCACAGAATCTTTTTTTTTTTTTTTTTTAAGATTTGTTTATTTATTTATACAAGCACTGGGGGTACAGTCAGAAGCGCAGGAGGGTGAGAGAATTCACTGGAGCCAGAGCGGGGAGCAGAGCAGGCAGAAGGACCGAAGTACACTGCTGAGGGGAGCAGTGGGCGGCAGGAGAAGTCTGCGCGCCATGTGGGACCCTCCTCTGGTGGCCAGGTAGCAGCCAGGGATCGAACCGGCGCTGCAGAGGCTGCGGGCAGCTTCACAACCCAGCGCTTACCCGCTGCGCCACGGGGGAAGCCCACCACAGAATCTTGAGAGAAGTGAAGGAGCAAGTGGTGAGGATACTTGGGGTATTAGTACAGTGGGTAGAAGTAAGAGCAAGAACAAAAGACTTATGGGTAGGTGCCTACGAAACAGGCAGATTAGGATGCTAAATGTAATGAGGGAGAAGTATAGTAGAAGGTAATTCAGTCCCTTGGTGGCTTTCAGTCCCTTGGACAATGAATGACACAGAAACTAGTATATGGTTTTGAGCTAAGGATTGACAATATTTGACTTATTTTACATGGTAAACTTTAGTGTCTGGGAATAGACTAAAGGAGGAAGAGTGGAAGTGTGGCGAAGAAGGCTGTTGTAGCGAGTTTCCAGGCAGGAGATGGTGGTGGTTTGATCACTATAGAAGCAATGTAAGTAGTTAGAAATAGCAGAATTTATTGTAGCTGTATAGCCATTAGGATAGTGTGTGCTCGTGCGTGCGTGTGTGTGAGAGAGAGAGGGAGAGAGCGCGCGAGAGAGAAGTCAATAATGACTTAAGGTTTTGGTCTAAGTAAGTAGAAAATGGAGTTATTTTTTTCTGGTGGGGAAAACTAAAGAACAGGCCAATTTTAAGGGGTGTGGAATTAAAAGAAATCAAGATTAGATTTATTTTTATTTTTATTGAGGTAACATTGGTTTACAGAACTCTAAAGGTATAGGTTCACACCTCTGTGAACATATGTTATCATACCTTACCAACCACCAAAAGAGTCACATGTTAAATAAGTGAAAATGTCAAGTAGCAATTGACTATGAGGTTCAAAAGAGAGATCCAGGCTGGATATGTAAGTTCATATGGTATTTGAAACTTTGAGACTGAGAGCAATGACCTTGTGAAGGGAATAGATGGATAAGATAGGGGAACAACAAGTCCTGGAACCTTCACTCTGGAAGTTCAGGAGATATGAGAAACCAGCCAAAGAGAAGGAAAAGAAACAACTAGTGAAGTTGGAGGAGAATCTATCCTACTGTGTTTTAGAAACCAAGTGAAAAAAAATACTTCTACAGGGAAGGAATATGAATTCCATACTGTTAGGCTAAAGAAGATGAGAACTGAAAATCGAGTATAAGATCTTGGAGTTTGGCAAAAGGGCGAACACTGGTGACGTTGACAAACCTTGTTTTGCTGAGGGTGTGGAAGAACCAGCTTGGAGAGAGTTCATGGAATGAGAACAGTAGAACTGGATGACCAGTAGTGAGTGGTTCCTTTTTGTATTCTGTGGAAAAGTTGCTGCTGACTGGGGAGAACAGGGTGTGAGATAAACGAAGGCTTTTTTTTCTTAGATGGAAGAACTGGGCCTGCCCTGGTGGCGCAGGCGGCTGAGCGCCATGCTGTGAGGCTGCCCACAGCCTCTGCAGCGTGGGTTCCATCCCGGCTGGCTGGTGAGGGTCCCACATGGCGTGGCAGACCTCTCCTGTCACGCCCGCTGCTCCCCTCAGCAGTGTATTTCGTCTCTGCCTGTTCTTTTCCCCACTTTGTCTGTGGTGAATCCTCTCACCCTCCCATGAATCTGGCCTGTACCGTGGTTCTTGTGTAAATAAATAAATCTTAAAAAAAAAAAAAAAAAGTGGGAGAACTAATATCTTGTTGGTGGGAATGATTGCACAGAGAGAAAGGTTTTGACTCTTCAAAGAGGAGGGCCTTAATACCTAGAGTGATGATAGTGGCAGCAGTGAGGGGTTATGATCAAGTGCAAAGTAGAGAAGTGGACTCATAACGGGAGCATGGTACTTCATTAATAATCAAATAACTTTTGTAGAGCTCCAGTTAGCTTAAAACTTTCTACTTTAAAGAATAACTCACTTAGTCCATACTACCTAAAATCTATACTTTAATGCATCGTTAATCCTTATACAGTTCTTGATTGTCATCCATCTTACCAATTACAGTAGTTCTTTGAATAGCCTACAAAGATATTGAAGGCTTTAAATATTCTTTCTTTCTAAACTAGGCTGATTGGATAAGTCCCTCCTTTGGTTGCAGAGTACAGTTCAAACATCATCCAAGGGTTTTAGGATTTGTCTCTATAGTTAATGCTCACTGTGGTATTTTGTGTACCCATTGCCAAAATACTTTAGAGCACTTATTATTTCCACCCCACATATAGTAGATTTTGAAGTCAGATCTAAGTTCAAATCCTACCAATTGTACAACCTTGGGTAAATTTAGCTAATTTAGTTTCTCACTTTATTTCTTCATCTGTAAAATGGGAATGAGTTAAGGTTGTAGGTATGCAATAAATCCTAATTCTCTTCCCTCTTTGTTCGTGTTTGTAATCTGTAAACCCCCTCATAAGTATATAAGTTCTGCTTATTCTGCGAGGTTTTAAATTTTCTCATTTAGTGAGCCTTTATTTAATTAAATTATTTTCTCATCCTTCCTATTTTCTTTACTGAAGTCCACACAGCCCTTACATGATAAACATTCTGAAATATTTTGGAGTTTGAGTAACCTGAGCACTGTGATTAGGGGCAAGTTGAACCAATGGCCTTGTGGGCTGCGGTTCTCTATCAAAGGTATGGATTTTGTGTCACTGTTTTCCAGCTTAGTCATTTGTGTACCACTTTCATCATTTTTTTTCTTGTTCATGTGCCAATTATACTTAAAATTTTTCTTTGAATGGACTCTTTAAACCATTTACTCATCCATACTTAACTATAATCTCTGAAATCAGGGGCTAGGTTTTTGATAGTTTGTTGTTTTTTTTTTTTTCCCCCAATATTATTATTTTTAAAAAAGATTTATTTATTTATGTATACAAGAACCGGGCTACAGACCAGAGGTGTGAGGAGTTAGAGGATTCACCAGAGACAGAGTGGGGAATAGAACAGGCAGACGAACGAAATACACAGCTGAGGGGAGCAGAGGGCGAGTCAGGAGAGGTCTGCTGCGCCATGTGGGTTGCTCCCTGGCTGGCCAGGGGATAGAACTCTTGCTGCAGAGGCTGCGGAGAGCTTCATAGGTTGCGTCTTAATAACCCCTTGCACCACCAGGGAGGCTCCCAACTGGTTATTTTTAAGTCCATTCCAAAATAATCTGTGTATGCCATCGATGTTGTTCCTTCTTGCTTTCCTTACTAGATAAGTCATATTGCTTGCCACAACAAGTTAAACTGTGTTGTATTTTCATTATTATGTCAATTATAAGATAATTTGATGTTGTGTTCTCAGTTATAAAGCAGCGAAGTATTCTGAGAATTACTTTACCTCTTAATGCTATTTCAGAAAGATGATTCTTTCCTAAGATTTATCTATTTTTTAAGATTTGTGAGATTTGTACTCTTAATCATTTGAAAATTTTAATTCGAATTGTAAATGTGCTTTTATTGTTGCAGTGAGATGGCAGATTTTCGAGGGATAGCTGAAGAGTCATTTCCAAGCTTTTTAACTAATTCATTACTTGGTAATAGTGGAACTTTGGAAAATGTCACTCTTTCTTCAAATCTTGGCTTGCCTGTTGCTGTTTCAACACTTGCTAGAAATAGATCCATCACTGATAACAGGTAATATTTGTTGGAACAGAGGATTTTTTTTTAAGGTTCATAAAGCCTGCAAAATATTGATACTTTTGTAAAATTTTGCAATCAAGCTTTGAGCTTTTGATTTATCTGGAGGAGTTGGTCAAATATATAAAATTAATACAAAAAAAGATAAAGCATACTATTTCTTTCCCTATTTCATTGCTTTATCAGTGATTGGGGGGGGTCAGTGTGGAATTGTACAGCATTGACTTTTGGGTCTGCTCATTGTTTTTCCTGTTCATGGCATTTTGGATTCGTATTAGTTCTGCCTTTGAGTTATATCTGCAGATATTATGTGTGCAGTTTATTCATTAGTGTAATGTCTACAATTTGCTTTTGCTTAAATGTCTCAATAACTTTCCAGTACTCATCAACTTAAACTTTTTTTTTTTTTAAGATTTAATTTTTTATACATACAAGAACTGGGGTGTAGGCCAGAGGTGCAGGGGTTGAGAGGATTCACCAGAGACAGAGTAGGGAGTAGAACAGGTTGGTCTACTGAAATACACTGCTGAGGGGAGCAGCGGGTGGGACAGGAGAGGTCTGCTACTCCATGTGTGTTAGCTCTCTGGCCGGGGAATGAACTCATGCCGAGTTGGCTGGCTTCATAGCCCTGAGACTTAACCCCTGCACCACCAAGGAGGCCCACAGCCAAAACATTTGTACAGCCTCCTCTTTGCCCTTGGAATGAAGGGCTTGGGTTACTGTCTAAATGTTACAGGGCAGGGAGAGGGGCATCACAGAACCCCCAAACCTGGCTGCTCTAAATAGGTTCTGCCTTCTGCCACATCAAGACAAAACATATGAGACCTTTAATGGAAAGGAACTTTAATATAATTAGTGTGCAATACAGAAAAGACAAAGAATATACTTTTCAAATGAAGCACCCAAAGTTAACCATCCCCTTGTGGGTAAAAGTCCACCCAAACAGGACTGGCCTAAAGCAAGGCTCAAAACCCTGCCACAAGTCTAAAGCAACTTCCAGCAGGAAACCGTAGAAAAGGGTCAGAAACAGTCAGACAAGTCTGGGAAGAAAAGAGTAAAATCAAAGTCAAGATAAAAGCTGCCATTATCAACCTCCCAACAGGGTCTCTCACCCACATCTATTTTAACCACTCCAGGATCAAGAAGCAAGAGCAACTTCTAAGCATGTCTCTATGCTCCATGTGCCTCCTCCAGGTCTCCTTGCTCTCCATCCTGCTTTCTTCCTTCTCTAGTCTCCTCTCCAGCTTCTTCTCCCTCCTCAGCTCCAGCCTCCCTTGGGTGAGGCAGGGAACCTGAACCTCCCCTTTTTCCTGGGCACAACCCTGTTGCATAAATACCCTTTGGCTTTCAGATTCCTGTGGCTCTTGTTAACCCAGTGCTCAGCCACGGGTTTCCGTGCCATACATGTAGGATGATTGTTATTAATGAATACCAGGACCCTGTTTATGGTTGGTTTTGCAAATCATGTAGCCCTATGTCATGGGGAGTTTTACATGTGTATAATTATTAACAAAGCAAATTTTTGTCAATAGGTATTCTGATGTCCTGGCATCTTATTTAGTAGATGGGAGGTTTTCAGTTCCAACTGAGTCATCGCCAAGCAGCCAGATTGAACGTGAACCAAAAGAGAAGTTACAGCTTAGCTTCCAGGATGATGAGTAAGTTCATACATTTATCTTATTTTCACTGTGTTAAAAACAGTCATAATCCTGTGGAAAATAAAGTGATTGTGTTGCTGATTATCTCGTAATTCTGAGAATCTTTAAGAATTATTTAAAAATAACGTTTTAATCCCCAACATATCTAGTCTTTCAAAACATTTTTTTTCTGATTTTAAAAGTAATGCTCATTGACAAATGGAGAAAATGCAGAGAATTGTAAGGAAGACAATAAAGGTCTGTAATTCTCCTAACTGTAATTGGTTACATCTTTAGTCTTCCATACTGTTTTGTTTGCACATACATATGTAAAATTTTTTTTATAAAAGCAGGGTTACACTATATGCCTTAAAAGTTAATAAATTGTGCTCATTTTTCAATTACAGTTATTGTAGATATGTGTCATGTTAATGACCACACCATGCTAGGCATTTAGATTATTGGAATTCTATTTAATGAACTTTATTTGTGCTAAATTCCTAGAATTGAAATTGTTGAATTTTCAACACTGAATTTTAAAGACTGTTATCCATGACCACAGTGCTCTTTAGAAAAACTTGTGCCAGTTTACAGTTCCACTCATTGATATCCATGAAATTCCAGCTTCTTTTGTTACAGGGCAACCCCACTATAAAACAGGTTGCCTGACTGTGGGTCCTCACCCGCACACTTAAAAGGGACTTATTAATACTCAACCGCAGGCATACGCAAAAGATTAATAAAAGGTTTATTTACACGGGAAGGGGAAATGAGGAAATGTATAACTCAGGGAGAAAAGAGGGAGATAAAGTCTTAAATGCGTCCTACCCATTCTGCCGACCTGGAATCCCAGTGGCACACTGAGAGCTGGTCAAGAGCCAAGAGCCAGGAGGCCAAGAGAGGGCTCCAAGGCCCATGTGCCTGATTTTATACCAAACCTGGCAGCTTAACTCTGCCCTCAGGTCCCAGCCTTTGGTGATGATGGGATTTATCATTTCCAGTGTCTTGATGGCTTTGGTCTGGAGTGGGTGTGGAGTCTACAAAGCCTGTGTGGAATTAGCTCAGGGCATCCTTTCCCCCTAACACTTTGAGCCTCCCCAGTGTTTGGCAGTATTATTTTTAATCTTTGATTTCAGAAGTGAAAAAATTACACACATGCATAACAGCATAGAAAAAAGTCTGGAAGGCCAAAAACCTGATGTTAAATGGTAGTTGTTAGCCCTTGATTTTGATACTATGCAAAATGTTAGTTTTGTGTTTTTTTCTTTGTTCTTAGCACATCTCAAGTTTATTAAGGACAAGAGAAAAAGGAGAGACCTCTGCATAGACACAGAGGGGCAGTCTTAAAAAACAAGACCTGCCAGTTTTCTGTGTTTGAATGCTTAATTCAGTGTGGGATTGAAACTTTAGTGTTCATTTATTACTTAATTTCTGATGTGAATTCTCTCTTGATAATATGCTAATGTAACTGCTTTCTATAAGAGATGTTAACTCTTTGTATATTAATTCTGTGAACTTTATTTGTGCATACATTTTGTATGCCTAACAGATTATTTATTAAGCTAAATTCCTAGAATTGAAATTGTTGAATTTTAAACACTGAATTTTAAAGACTATTATCCATGACCACAGTGCTCTTTAGAAAAACTTGTGCCGGTTTACAGTTCCACTCATAGATATCCATGAAATTCCCACTTTTGTTACAGGGCAACCCCACTCTAAAACAGGTTGCTTTTGACTTAGTGGTTATTTTGTGTCAGGTCTTTTCCAAGGACTTAGGAAATGCCAGTGAACAATGGAGGCATTAAATAAAAAGACGTTAAGTTATACCAATTTTATAATACCTTAGAAGAGAAAAGTGCTAGGAAAAGAACATGATAAGGATTATTGGGTGCCTAAAGGGAGTGGTCAATGGACTAAGATATGAACAAAGGTTTGAAAGAGAGAATTAGCTATGTGGACATGAGCAGGAAGAGAATTACAGGTGGAGGTTTCAGGCAATGTGAAGTCACTAAAGGTAGAAACGTAGCCAGTATGTTCATAGACCAGAAGGAAACTGGAATGGGTGGGCAGGGACTTTGACTGAGTAACAGGAAACCATTAGAAGGTTCCCTCTGAATTATCTTTTAAAAAAGTCTCAATTCTGGCTACTTGTGGAGAACAAACCTTTGGGAGTAAAAACTTGAAGCAGGATGACTACTCAGGAAATTGGATTATCACAGTAGTGTGGTAGATACGGAAGAGTTAGAGTATTGCCTGAGCCTCAGGTGCTTCAACATTAAGAAATTGAGGCAAGGGCCTCCCCGGTGGCGCAGTGGTTGAGCGCTGGCTTGGGAAGCTGCCCGCAGCCTCTGCAGCGCCGGTTCGATCCCTGGCTGCTCCCGGGCCACCGGAGGAGGGTCCCGCATGGCACGCAGACCTCTCCTGCCACCCGCTGCTCCCCTCAGCAGTGTACTTCGGTCCTTCTGCCTGCTCTGCTCCCTGCTCTGGCTCTGGTGAATTCTCTCACCCTCCCGTGCTTCTGACTGTACTCAGTGCTTGTATAAATAAATAAATAAATCTTAAAAAAAAAAAAAAAGACATTGAGGCAAGTAGGAGTAGACAAAGAAACTAAGAATTAGTGATTGGAAGTAGAAAGAAAACAGAAACCATATGAAGAACCTATATAAAGAAGAATAGGTAATCTTTTAACTACCTGACATGTATAGATAAGATAATGACCTCAGGTCTTTGAGGGAGTAGCTTTATTGTGAATCTTTTGGCAAGGAAGTAGGAGATAAACTAAAATCTACTTCCCTAGTTAAGAAAGGAAATGAGGTTATACAGTTTTTGGGGACTGGGATTGAGAACAAAGGAATTAAAATTTCCTGGCTGAAAAGTAGGTTAGGAGCAAAGAAATGTGACTTAGCTGAAGTTCATTGGTTTGTCATAGGACATTTCATACACAGAGATACATAGGAAGAGGTTTTCTTCAGAGAACTGGTGTTTTGAATTTCTGCTGGTGGGCCTCTTCTCTTGCCTGTGGGTAGTCCTCATCCCCTCCAATGTCCCTTCCTCCTGAAACACACATAAATGTGCTTTCACAGTCTCCTGGCTCTACCTGGCTTTGGAGCTTAGCTCCAGGTTAGTTGATGAGCCTCAGGTTCTGCTGTGTTTACATAATCAAGTCTCAAACAGAAAGTTAGATGAGTTTTTTTTTCTTTTGTGCTTTAAGGTCTGAAACCAATTTAACCATTTAACTTGGATTTCAATCTAATGGTGTCAAAGTGAGTACTGTCAGTGTTACAAAGCAACCCTGATATAAAACGGATTGCCTGACTGTGGGTCCTTACCCACACGGTTAAAGGGGACTTATTAATTCTAACTGCAGACACACACAAAAGGTTGATAAAAGGTTTAGTTACAAGGGAAGGGGAAATGGGAAATGAATAACTGAGGGAGAAAAAGAGGGAATTAAGTTCATAAATGCGTCCTACCTATTCCGTTGACCTGGAATCCCAGTGACCCACCAAGCTGGCGAAAAACCAAGCACCTAGCGTGGCCAAGAGGGCGACCCCCACTCCCCTCTCCTCCCCTCCCCTCCCCCCACATGATCAGTGAAATACTCAAACCAAGAACCTAGTTGCTTAACTCCGCACTCAGGTCTTCCCAACCTTCCCTTTGGTGATCATGGGATTTTGTAGTCTCCAGTGTCTTGATGGAGTGGGGGTGGAGTCCACAAAGCCTATATGGAGTTTGCTCAGGACATCCTTCCCCCCTAACATAAGTGCCCACTGGAATTAGCATAGGTTAGGTCATTGGCAACAGTGAAAGGTTTTAGTTGAAGTAGGGGGAGGCACAAGAGCATAGCAGTGAGTTTGATAATGAGGTGGGGGTGGCCACCTGTTAGCAGTTTTTGCTGCAAAAAGGAGCAGAGAAATGGGACTGTGTTAGCTGGTGGGTATATTAAGTTGAGAAGTTTTTTTTTTTTCCTATGGTGGGAAAAGTTGTTGCATATTTATATAATAGGAATGATCTGTGGAAAGGGAAAATTTGGTTATGTATAATAAGAAGAGAATTACTGGAGCAATATCTGTAAATAAGAGTGTAGGGTCTAACGTGCAGAAAAGGGAATAACTTTTGATGGGTAGGACCATGGACAGTTCTCCATATTAACAGGTGTGGCGTTGGTATATGTGGGTACATGTGGTAATAAGAACCTGGGGAAGTTATATTTTCAGTACTTTAGGAAGTATGGCTTTAACTCACTGAGTAGGAAGAGAAAGAGTTGGTTGTTTGGAAGAGACAACAGATCATATGGGAGTGTGGGGAAGTGAATTGACAGGGGAAATACGGCTCTCTGATGCCATCAGGAGCCCAGCTTGTAGGTCATGGCCATGAATTTAGCCTGAGACTACTCAGTATGACTGTGATGTTTTCAATTATATTTGGCTGTAGGAATGCAAATTAGGAAGAGCCAGAGAGTTTGGCTTAATCAGGCTTGTAGCTTGATAAAGGCACTGAGGGAAGAGGGAGTTGAAATTGAGCGGTGATTGGCCATGAGATTTAGGTTAAGGAAGAGGAGAGGATATCAAAAGGGTGAGGGAGAATGAAATGTGTTGGTATGAATGGATTGAAGACTCAGGTGGGTTCAAAGGATTGTTGAGTTGTGGGTACTAAGGCAGATGAGACAGATGAGAGGGGTAGTCAGTGATTTCCAAGCTGGGAGTGCTGTGGGGCACAGAGGCATCTTATTCTACCAAGTATATACCAAGTATATCAGAGAGATAATAGTCTCCATTTGACAGAGTTTAGGGGAAGCAATGTCTTCACGGAACACCTGGAAGCTTTCATTGAAGCAGTGAAATGAAAGAAATTGTTCAGAGAAGAGTTTCAGGAATCACGAGATTTTGCTCATCTTAGAACCCTGCCTTCAGGAAGGAGAGTAGAGGGTTAGGTTTGTTGAAGAGATCAGAAATGGAGGGGTGTGCAGTTTGATGGAGCTTAAAATGACAGCAGTAAGAAGTCCTGGGCTTATTACTTATTAGCAGTAAGGGACTGGGAACAACATCAAGTGTATCTACTGAATTGTTGTTAGTAATAAGACAATGAATGTTGGGGGAGGGATGGGGACTCTGGGAAGTAACCTCTTGACTATTTTTAATGGAGGCAAGGTGGTCTGGGGAAGTAAATAAGGTCTTGTTGACTCCTATTAATGGAAGGTAGGAGACCTGATAAGGTGGAGTCCTAGATGTAGTGCCTCATTCTTAACTCCTTCCTGGGAGGCATGTGCTTTGGGGCAAGCCTTTACCTCTTGAGTCATCTAAAGGTCTGGTTTAAGTCTGAGTGTCAGGGCTTGACCTTTGTAATGGAGTGATGGCTGCAGAGTTTTGGTTGTATTCCCCGTATGAGGGATAGCTTCTGTGATTTCTTTTTGGGGTGTGTGGGGGGGTAGATTTTGTCTTTCAAATGACTTTATTCTAACCTTGTAATAAATGAATATTTTAGCCAAGTGTAGAATTTTGAGATGAAATAATTTTTGCAAATTTTTTAACACATGACTACATCATGTGAGAAGCTTGATGTCGTGGTACTTCATTCTTTGTGCCTGAATTATTCCCCCCCCCCTCCTTTAGTCTGTGGTGATACGGTTTATCTTTGCACTCACTGTATTCTCATTGGCTTCAATCCAGTTGAGAGACTGTGGGCTTTTAGTCCTAATTATCATTACTTTAGCAATTTACTTCTACTTTTCTATCTGGAACTATTCTGTAATCTTTTAATGTGTTTCCATTGTTTTTTTCCTATTTCCTATTTAACGCAAAAGGATGTTTTTGATAAGCTGCTAATTTTTTTTCTTCCCTTCTGTTGAATCATTTGGTAATCATAATTTTGAGAACTCTTTTTCTGGTCTTTCATTTTTTTATAATGCCCCTTGTGTGTATATAACTACGTGAATGTTCCTGAGGATTCTAATTAAAGATCTTTTTTTAAATCTATCTTATTTTTGGAAGCTAAATTTTTCTCTAGATTTCATAGATTCAGAGGATCTTATTGGGAAAGAAACACCTCATTTTATCACTTGAGAGGCAGGGTAGCAATGTGATATTCTTTATTTTTGTATGTCACTAGGCCCAAAATGAGTGTAATCCCTAGGACCCTCCCCCAAAATGTTAACAATTACAGCTTCTGACCTCACAGAAATGTTTCTTTGACTGTAACCACTTTTTACTTTATAAGAGATGAAATACTTAACTGATTAAGGAATATTTTATAATCTTATCCAAGGTAACTAGTGTTTCATCATTAGTCTGTTCCCTAATAAACAAGTTCTGTCTCTAGGAAAAAGGACTTTACTGGAAGTCAGCATTTGTCAGATGCTCCCCTCAGTGAGTCAGATTTTCAAGGTGATGTAGTCAGAACAGAAGAGGTACAAGTGAAAACTGCAAAATGCTTTCATAATCAAGATCTTCTTGATAAGATGTCTCCACAGGAACAAATGCAAGGTACTGAACTATTAAAAATTATTTCTCTCTATTTTAATTTCTTCTCATTGCTCTCTTGATGGATTATGATTTTAAGTTATTGTATGGTAAACTAAAAATCCTTTTGTTTGCCATTTCCTTGTGTTCTGTCCCCAACCAGAAAGCTAACCCACATGGAATAGCAGACCTCTTTTGTCTCACTTGCTGTTCCCCTTAGCACTGTATTTCAGTAGATCCACATGTTCTGCTCCCCACTGTCTGGTAAATTCTCTCATCCCCTGCTTCTTTAGTCTATGCTCATGTTCTTCTATGCAAAAATAAAATCTTTAAAAAAATGCTATTTACCTACTAATGTCATATTTACCATAATGTTATAGGAAAAGTTTTCTTAGTCTCCCTTGTCTTTACTGATTAAGATGGAATCTCCTTTCCTTTAGAAACTGTGCTGTCTGATGGTCATAACACATACACTTTATGTTCAAAATAACGACACTCTTTCTAATACAGCTTTCACATTTCCTCCCACCAGTTAATTTATATTCTTACCGGGAGTCATTTTTGTTTCTAACATTTTTACATAACTGTTGAATTATAAATTCTAGAAGAATTTGCTTCTAAGAAAGCCAAATTATATGCTTTGGAAATACTCAAAGATGAGTTATTTGAAAAACTGCTATCAAATTAGATATGTAAAAGAAATTACAAAAGTATGAGAAGAATTACAAAAAAAAAAAATTACAGGCTTTTGCTGTCACGCTTTTTTAAGTGTTCTACATCCTCTTCAAAGAAATGAAAACTAAGTATTTATAGAGCAAAGATATTGTGTCACTCCAAACTGTAGTTCAATACTCCTGAAACTTTTAAGAATGAATAAATGAAATGAAAACATCTATATGTTTTCGAATTTTATGAGATGTTTGTTTATATACTCTTGATGAAAAATATATGAAAGTAGAGAAAATACTAACCAGCCATAAAAGAGAAGATAGATAAATTGGCTTTCATCAAAAGTGAAAACTTTTGTGCTTCAAAAGACCCTATCTGCAAGTGAAAAGGCAGCCCCAACAAATGGGAGAAAATATTTGCGAATCATACAGAATAAGAAACTAGCATTCGGAATATATAAGAAGAATATAAGAAGTCTTACAAATCAATAAAAACAATTGACTTTTAAAAGGGTACAAGATTTCAATAGACGTTTCCCTAAAGAAGTTGTACAAATGACCAATAAACTCAATGAAAAGATGGTCAAAATCATTAGGGAAATGTAACTCAAACCACAATGAAATACCACTTCACACCCACTAAACTAGCTATAATCAACAAGAAAGAAATAACCAGTGTTGATGAGTATATGGAGAAAGTGAAACTCTTATCCATTGCAGGTGGGGTTGTAAAATGGTATAGCTGCTGTGGAAAACACTTTCATGGTTCTTTAAAATGTGAAACATAATGTTAATAACATGACCAAACAATCCACTCCCATGTATATATCCAAGAGAAATGAAAATGCAAAAACTTGTACATGAATGTTAATAGCCACATTAGTCACCACAGCTGAAGAGTGGAAATAAATCCATCAGCTGATGAATGGGTAAACGGAATATAGTATATCCATATAGTGAACACTATTCAGCCATAAAAAGCAGTGAAGTATTGATATATGCACTAATGTGCCAATAAAAGAGACACAAGAGGTACATACTGTTTGATTGCATTTACCCATAGGTAAACAGTGGGTTTGGTTCAAAGGTCATACTCAGATTGCTACTAAGTAGCCTGGAGGGGAGAGGAGAAGGCAGATTATCTGCTAGTATATATCTAATAATATTTCTTTTTGGAGGAATGAAAATAGATACTGGTGAATGTTTTATAAATTTGTGAATATACTAAAAAGAACTGTTATCCTTTTAATTTTATAGTATATAAATTGCATAACAACTTTTAAAAATTGCTCATATATGTAGCCCTTAGTTTCAGTGAGTATAAGATATTGTTATACTTGTTTCATCTCTCCTGTATTTTTACTTTCCCCTCTGAAATTAAAAGTTTCACATGCCATTTTATTCCAACATATTTTATAGTATGCACCTCTGAAAATTCGGGCATTTTCTTACGTAACCATAGTGCTATTAGGACAGATAACAATTCCTTTAGTAACATGTAGTATGGTGTATGTATATGAAGTCTGAATTCAGATTTTTTTTCTTAACTTGAAGTCTGAGGAAGTTTACATTGTGTTACAGTTACAGTACATTGGTTGTTGTTAAGCCACTGACTTGAGAAGGACTAGGTCACATCCCTTGCAGATTGTTCATTATTTGGAATTACCAGTTTGCTTATTCATGGTGTTATTTTTCTGGTTTTCTGTTCTCCCCATATCTTCTATAAAACAGAAGTTGGTTTTAAAGACTTGATTCACTCCAGAATTTAGGGGGTATGTATATAATTTTTATACTAAAACACAGCAAAAGTATTGTAATTTGCAGATGCCAAAAAATATACTGGTTACCAGAGAGAATGAGGGGTAGGGAGGCAGGGAATAGAACATTGGCACAAAAAATTTAGTGGTAGAGGATGAGGGAAGCAAGTTTACATATAGAGGTATGAAAATGTGCCCCCCAAATTATGTAGTTATGTAGATGACTCACCAGTTAATAAAATTTGAGAAAGAAAAGTTTTGTGCTTCCTTAATTAACCTAACAATTTAACTTAACAATTTCAATTTAACTGAGTAGTAATGGATTCCTATGCCATCATTTAAAAGAGCTCTCTATTAAGGGAAAATGTTTAGTTCATTAATTTTCTGTAATACTGGATAGTTGATAAAATAACTTGATCTGTTTTTTTTTTTTTTTTTTTAATTTTTTTGAAATAACATATCCAAAATTTTATTACAACTCAAATTTTTGTAAGCCGGAAATCTAGTCAAAGCACTCTGCCTTATGCTCTAGTCAAATCACCTTACAATTTTCTTTACTTTCTTCTTGCACAAGTTAGTTTGTTTCAAATTGCTGTTTGGCTTTCAACACAGTCTTTAAAATACAGAGGCAATACTGAGATTAATAGTACTTTTGTGAGTCAAATTAAAAAATGGATCTAAAATATATTGAACTTTTCAAATGTAAGCCACCTAGCTTGTTGGAAGCTAGTTACTAGAATCATATTAGAAGAGAAAACGATGCTAGAAAAAAGACATCACAAACTCATTTCATAGGTTATCAAAATATTTGTCTGTTGCAGCACAGAGTAGCTTTCCTATGCTGCTGCATAATGATCCTATAATTTCTATCAAGGAAGAATAGTACAAGAATAAGATTTGTGGCTAAATTGATTCCATGTCATAATGATTCTCTGTGCTGCTCTTCTCTTCAGGAAACTATGATACAGGTAGTAATGACAACTCCATTTCTTTCCCTTATATTTCTTATTGAAGCAGAGAAAATCACTTGAGATATTGACATCTAATTTCTACCACCCTTTCCCTCAGTTCTGTCCAGTCATTAGTGTCCTTACCATAACCAGTGTATGTGCCATCACCAGTCCCCTATAGGTTATTTTCTTGGTCCTGCTGTTGAGGTGAAGGAAGAAAGGAAGGAAGTTTGGTACTAGGGTTGAGGGTCAGGTAACTAAGTTTCTTTTTATTAATTGTTCTCAGATAGGTTGAGAGACAGATCTTTTTTCCTTTACCCTATGTTAGTAAAAATACATAAAATAGTTCTTTAAACTCTTGTGTGTAAAATGTCTGTATTATTTGTAATTTTGACTTTTGTAAATATTTGCGTGCTCAATATTTGTCTTCAGTGAACGTCTGTGAAGACTAGGTAAAAGGTTGGGTGAAACGTCTATGGCTTCTTTGAAGTCTTAGTCACAGCTTGATGATCCTCTAAGATATTTGGGTTTGGTTGGAAGATGATGCTCAAACTGCTACAAAGTAGGCTGGAAAGAACTAGATAGCTCAGAAAGAGTTAGAAAAACCTGAACTCCAACAAAACATGGTGAGAGATGGGCCTCCCTGGTGGCACAGGCAGTTGAGCGCTGTACTGTGAAGCTGTCTGCAGCCTCTGCAGCACATGTTTGATCTCTGCCAGCTGGCGAGAATCCCACATGGTGCGGCAGACCTCTCCTGTCTCACCCGCTGCTCCCCTCAGCAGTGTACTTCGTCAGTCTGCCTGTTCTGTTCCCCGCTCTGTCTCTGGTGAATCCTCTCACCCTCCCGCGCATCTGGCCTGTACCCTGGTTCTTGTATAAATAAATCTTAAAAAAAATAAAATAAAATAACATGGTGAGAGAAAGCACTAACCTATTTTTTCTTTCTTAAACAGACTCACCTGTTGATTTTTGTTTATCATCATGGATAAATAATAAGGAAAACAAGGTAAGTTCATATATTTGTTGTCAATTTCTGGAGTATCATTACGAGAGTGAAAATCATATTTCATAAAAATGCTAGCTTGCTGGAGTCCAGCATCTGGTGAACAGGGTTGAGAGAGGAATCCAGTTGAACTGAGGAAATTATGAAGAAATGACGGGCACAAAATACAGTTTAAGAGAAGCGGGACCCAGGGGATGCAAGGCCTCTCATTCATGCTTAAGCGACCTAAGTGCCAGGTGCAACTCATTTTTATTGATACAAGCAGCCCCCCTCCCTTAGGTTAGTTACTAGATAATAAAGTATTCTTTTAGCATTAGGCCTTGTCTGGGCACACATTCACTGCCAAAGGTTCTGCACTGTCAGGTTATTTTGTTTCTTTTTCTAATCTAGTCTGTTCCCCAGACATAGTTTCTTGCAGGCACAACAAAGAACATCCTGATCTGTACAGCCACGACCTTGATGTCTCCCTTGTCTCAGTGCTGCATGCCTTAGGGGTGTCCAACACTACCTAGTACTCTTACAGTTAAATGGTCCCCGGGTTGAGAAGCAGGGAAATCATCATTTGAATGTCGCCGAGTCCAACTTTGTTGTTTTCACTTCCTGTCACATCCTATGTTTCTCAAATTCAATTGTGTATTATTATATTATTTGTATTACTATATCCTCTGAGCATTTGTACACAGTTGAAAACTCAAATTTTAAGGATGTCTCATTGTGTGGATTAGGAAAGGAAGGTGGCATGGAGGTAGATAGGAAGTTATTAATAAGCAAAATAACTAACCCTTCATTGCCCAAATTGTGAATTACAGCTCCTGAGCACAGTGGAGGCCTTGTACTGTGAAAGCAGTGAGTGTGTTTCTCTTAACTTCCATTTTCTCTCTTACAGGTTGTTGTTCCTGAGGCTGGACAACATGTTGAGGACAAGAATCCAAACAGTGACTTAAGCCATACTAGTTTATTAGAAAATGAGAAACTTATGTCACTAACAAGCTTGGAAGATTCTTCTGGTACTGCAGAGTAACTTATGTTTTCCTAGTCCTTATTTTGCTACTTCTCTACTTTCTGCTTCTTCATGGCATAGTTATTATGCCAGACTTTGTTTCTTTGCCTTCTTTAACTTTTTCCTACTAGGACTCAGATTGCCCTTTCTGAGAAGTGGTAGAATCTTTAAAACTTATTTCTTCAAATCAATTCTGATATGATTATGCTCTTCCCTCAGTTTAATATCATTTGTGTACAAAGTAATCACCTTAGGTGCTACTCAGTGTAAAAGCACTATTAAGAAATAGAGGGAACAATGAAATATTTAGCCTTTACTTTTTTTTATTTAATATTTTATTTTATTTTTAAAGATTAATTTTTATTTATACAAGAGCTAGGGTACAGGCCAGATGTGCGGGAGGATGAGAGGATTCACCACAGACAAAGCAGGGACCAGAACAGGCAGACTGACAAAATACACTGCTGAAGGGAGCAGTGGGCAACACAAGAGAGGTCTGCCCTGTCATGTGGGATTCTTGCCGGCTGGCTGGGATCAAATTGGTGCAGCAGAGGCTGCGGAGAGCTTCACAGAGCTGCACTCAACCGCCTGCGCCACCAGGGAGGCCCTTATTTTATTTTTTTTAAAGATTTATTTATGCATACAAGAGCCGGGGTACAGGCCAGAGATACGGGGGGTGAGAGGATTCACCAGAGACAGAGCAGGGAGCAGAACCGGCAGATTGACTGAAATACGCTGCTGAGGGGAGCAGTGGGAGAGACAGGAGAGATCTGCTGCACCATGTCGGTAGCTCCCTCTCTGGCTGGGGATCGAACTCATGCTGCTGAGGCTGCGAATTGCTTCATAGTGTGGTGCTTAACCCCTTGCACTACCAGGGAGGCCCTTAATTTTTTTTTTTTTTTGTGGGACCCTCGCCGGTGGCCAGGGATCAAACTGACACTGCAGAGGCCGCGGGCAGCCCCACAACCCAGCGCTCAACCACTGCGCCGCCAGGGGAGGCCCAATATTTTATTTTATATATTTTTTACATCAAGTGAGAAAAGAGCTTAATTAAAGTACAACTTTATTAAGTGTATTTTGAGAGTATAATCTGCAGGAATTTCAGGAGGGTGACAAATTAATTCTGATTGAAGAAGGTGCTGGAGAGCTTTATTGAAAGAGGATGTAGTTTTCCCTCACTCTTGAAAAGGCCTGTGCTAGACCTTAATGTCGCAAATAGATTGTTTTAGGACTAGTTAGTGATCTTTTGTACTAGATTAACAGCACCTGTAGGAGGCAGAATTAGGGAATGAACCCAGAATAGTAGGCTCAGACTAAATTATGACCGCAGGCCAATCGGAGTGCTCAGTAGATCAGTAAAAACTATAACTTGAGGACATATTTTGTTTCTAAAGTTTTGAGATATTTTTGGAGTATGAGATTGTAGATAAGGAATTATTGATCTTAACTTTATATTATATTTATACAAATAATTGATTTTTTTAAGACTTATTTATTTATCCATATAAGAGCTGGGGTACGGGCCAGAGATGTGGGGGGTGAGAGGATTCACCAGAGACAGAGTGGGGAACAGAACAGGCAGATTGGCGGCAGTACACTGCTGAGGGGAGCAGCGGGTGAGGCAGGAGAGGTCTGCTGTGCCATGTGGGTTGCTCCCCGGCCGGCCAGGGAATCGAACTCATGCTGCAGTGGCTGCGGACAGCTTCATAGGTTTTGTCTTAACCCCTTGCACCACCAGAGAGGCCCAATAATTGATTATTTTAGTAGACTAGATTCTTAGTGGTGAAATAGCTGAAGCAAGTAAAGAGCATTTTTAATATTCTTAATGTTGAATTCAAAATAATTATTTAAAAAAGGCAGTGATGGGTCTTCTCTGGTGGCGCAAGGGGTTCAGATGCCCTGGCTGGGGTGGTGACCAGCATGGCACAGCAGACCTTTTCTGACTCGTCCTCTGCTCTCCTCAGCAGTGTATTTCAGTCAGTCTGCCTGTTCTATTCCCCACTGTCTCTGGTGAATCCTCTTACCCCACACCTCTGTTCTGTACCCTGTTCTTGTATGCATAAATAATCTTTTATTTTTTTAAAGATTTTATTTATTTATGCATACTAGAACTGGGGTATAGGGCCTCCCCTGGTGGCGCAGGTGGTTGAGCGCCACGCTGTGAAGCTCTCCGCAGCCTCTGCAGCGCCGGTTCAATCCTGGCGGGCCGGCGAGGGTCTCACATGGCACGGCAGATCTCTCCTGTCTCGCCCCCTGCTCCCCTCAGCACTATACTTTGTCAGTCTGCCTGTTCTGTTCCCTGCTCTGTCTCTGGTGAAACCTCCCACCCTCCTGCGCATCTGGCCTGTACCCCAGTTCTTGTATAAATAAATAAATCTTTAAAAAAAAAAAGAACTGGGGTATAGGCCAGAGGTGTGGGGGCGAGAGGATTCAGCAGAGACAGTGGGGAGCATTGTCACTGCTCAGTTAATTATATCTGTCACTGTTTAATTTAATTATATCTTTTTCCTCAGTCCTTCTTTCTCAGGATCAGACATATGAAGTCCTGTCATTTTACATTCAATCAATAATTCGCCTGAAATTTTTTACTTCTCCTATGACAGGCTTGTCTCTCCTTTTTTGATAGTTGCTCCTTTGCCACACTGTTTTTTGAATAACCTTTTTTCTATTCTGGGATGTCATATTCAATATGTCCTGGTATTTTTTATATATGCCAAGGATTTGTTTATATACTGTCCTCTTAAAGAGATTAAAGCATTAGTTTGTCTATGGAAATGATCTAAGTGTCTAAAAACATGAATGGATCGAGTTGATGTGGTATATGTATACAATAGAATATTATTCAGATATCGAAAAGATAAACTCCTGCAATTTGCTGAAACGTGGATGGAGCTTGGAGGGATTATGCCAAGTGAAATAACTCAGAAGGAGAAAGTTAAATACTGGAGAAAGTTAAATACAAATAATATTTTGAGTATGGAGAAATTAAACTAAGGGTCAGATAAAAACAAGCTTAAAAACTTATCTTTAAAAGTTGACAATAAAACTGAAGCATTCAGAGGAGGGAGGGAATGAGGGAAGGGTAAGATTAAAGAGGGAAGGGAACACAGTGGACTGTGGGTAGTTTGGTGGTGGATGTGTTATGGTGGTAGTACCTGAGGGGGGAATCTTATACTTCTAAAACACCAACAAAACTGTAAGTCAATTTTACCTCCAATAAAAAAAAATTTAAAAAAAGACTTAGTTTGTATTGGAATGCTGATAATGACAAAGTCTGAAGTTATAATAGTTTTCATATCAAATGTTAAAATCATTGGCCATTGACATTTTTATGGTTTATCAACATTTGGTTACATGTTATATGGTGCAGTCACTATTTTAGAGCCTGTCCTGTTTTTTGTCCATTTTATCAATAGAGGATGATATTGACGATGAAGAGTTTTATGATGATCATTTGGAGGCTTATTTTGAGCAACTGGCCATTCCAGGAATGATATATGAAGACCTAGAAGGACAGGAATCTCCAGAGGATGATTTTAAGTTACCTACAAGTGATCGTAGTCAGGTGTGTGCCTATCTATCAATTTTCAGAAATTTGGGATTAGAAAATTATTATTGGTTTCTTTGTATAGTAACAGATTTCAAACTTTTTGTTTGCTTTGACTCTTTTTTCCAAGTATGAACTATGAGAAAAACCTTTCCCTTTCTTTCCTACTTTATCTTATCTTTCTCTTATCTACCAAAAAATTAAAAGATTGGTACAGAGAATATCTCTATACCCCTTGTTTACATTAGCCCTTGGTAAGCATTTTACCATCTTTGCATTTTTCTTTCCCTCTATAAGTACTCTTATCCTGAATCATTTGAAAATAAGTAGCAGATATTTCACCCTTATCTTCAGAATTTATCTCCTGTAAATAAGAACATTTTCCTATATAACCACAATTCTAACTTTGACATGTAATTTAATGTACAATTTGTCTTCAAATTGTCTTCTACTTATATTGTTTTTGATCCAGCATTTAATCAAGGATTGTGCTTGCATTTCATTGTCATTGTATTTTTGCTATTTCAATTTGAAGTAGTTTTTTCATGTCTTAAGCTTTTGTAAAATTTAGGCCTGTTGTTTTGTAGAATGAACCATAAACTAGATCCTTCTGATTGCTTTTTACCCCCCTGATTTGATGAAACATCTGGGCAAGAATTCGGATTAAACATTTTTCTCATGAATAGTTTCACATTAAAGATAGGTGGTGATGTGTGCTTTTCATTGCGTCACATACATTACTGTCTGTACTGCTGTTGGTGATACTGCACTTAATAATTTTGGTTAAGGTGGAATCAGCTAGGTGCCTTTTTGTAATGGTTTCTTTTCCCCTTGGTTAAATTGATAAGTTAATCTGTGAAAAAATACTTCAAGCTTATGTGAACATCCTGTTTCTGAATAACCTTTCCAAAATGGTTTTAGTGTCATTGCAAAAGCCTCCCAGAAATAGTAATTACACTGGTGGTTACAATGGTGATTTTTTTCCAATTCCATATTAATTACCTGGCACTCTTCTGTGATGAAGGCATTCTTTGCCCCTTATATTCTCCCTCATGGTTGTTTTTAATTTAAAAAATTTAATGAATTTCAACAGGTAAATGAACATTCAGGTAAATCTCAATCAGAAAATAACAACTCTCTGATTTCCCATGGCTCATGCTCTTCAGGAAATTCTGAAATGGCTAACAAAGAGTCTAACGAAGGCTGTTTGGTTTGTCTGCCTGAGACCAGTAAGTATTGAAATAGAATTACTTTGTCCTTAAATTCTTTCTGACTTTTTCTTTTTTCAAAAAAAGTTCATTTCTTTGATATGATTTAACATAGTTGTCATTCTATCCCCTCAAATCCCCTCAAATCTTTAAACAGTCTAAAACTATGCTTTAAATGTGATAGACATTTCTGATTCCTACCAATACTTTCTCCTGTTTTTAAGTTTCAATACCTGAGTACATTTGGTACTATTGGAAATACTATAGTTTGTATTTCTTAAATTACATATTTTAATTGTGTTTGTAGACTTTTGACATGAATTAGACATGAATTCTTTGTATGGTAGGAGTCTGTCGTGTTCATTGTTACCTCTTGCTGCCAACAGTGGTTACTGGTTATTTTTTCTCTATGCAAATTTCAGTATTGGTATATGGAGGTTAAGTATTAGGTTTACATAAAATAATTGAGTAGCTACAAGCAATTACTACTTTAGGTTACTGAAAATTGACATTTCTTCAATAATTTTTTATCCTTTATTTTTCAGGTAATTCTGTAGGAACTGGAGAGAGTAAGAAGCATGTAGATGGTGTGTCGCCATTTTCTTCTAGTAGTTGGAGGATTGAAAAGAAAGAAAGTGCAGAAAACTTGAGTATTGTTTCAAATCATGGCAGAGTAAGGTTATATGCATTTTCTTTAAGTTTTCTATGAGATGGGTTAGGGTCTTTTGTATGATATCACATTTTTTCAAAAACAGTTGTTGACTTCTGGAAAATATATAACAAGTATTAAAAATCGGGCCTCCCTGATGGTGCAAGGGGTTAAGTATCAGCACTATGAAGCTATCGGCAGCCACTGCAGCCGAGTTCAACCCCCAACCAGGGAGCTGACATGGCACAGCAGACCCTTCCTGTCTCTCCTGCTGCTCCCCTCAGCAGTGTATTTCAATAAATTTGCCAGTTCTGCTTCCCACTCTGTCTCTGGTGAATCCTCTTATCTCCTGCACCTCTGGCCTACACCCCAGTTCTTCTATGCATAAATAAATAAAAATAAATCTTAAAAATAAAATGGAGTATATTTAGTTTTAATACTGATTATTCACAAATTGTTAAACTCTTGGTCAGGCCATTTCAACAGACAAAATTATCAGTCACTTTCTTGATGATAGATAGGGTACTTGGGGGTTGTAGGTGATACAAAAGTAATCTTGCTTCATGAAACTTAGTAGGAAAATAAAAAAGATTAGATAATGATACAGCAAGGCAAAATTCTGATGATTGAATCTCAGTACCTATTGAAGGATGTAACCAAGTGCTGATTGAGTTAGTCTAAAAATTTTTCTCTTTACAGTTTTTCTATTCTGTTTTCTCTTTTAAATATATCTTTTATTATTTAAGTATTTTTCACCTATTAGAATCCATCATTGACCTCTTTGCTCCATTTCTTTAATGATCAGGAACTGTTCTCCCCCCCCCCAGCATTTTCTTCTGGTACAATTTCATTTTTATAAACAATGGTGTGAGTTTTGCTTCTGAGTTTCCACTGAAACTAACTTTTCCACTTATTTACAATAATTCTTGCTTTTTTGCTTTATTCTGTGTCTCTAGTTTTCACAGTTCAAATACAGTTTTAATTAAATTTGTAAAATATACATAACATAAAATGCTTTAATCTCATTTAAAATTTTTCTATTGAAGCAGTGTTGGTTATAACACATGTTAGGTATACACTGGTATAAACCAACATCTGTACATTCTAAATTGTGTTCACTACCAGAAGTCTAGTTTTCATCTGTCACCATACAGTTGACCCCTTAGCCACTTAACCCATCCCTTTTTCCTTTCCCTTCTGGTAATCACTTATTTTGTTCTTATAGTCTAAGATTTTGTTTTGTTCATTGGTTTTGTTTATCTTCCACGTGAGTGGCAACCAGTCTCTGAATTCATCTTGTAAAGCCAAAATTCCATTAAGTAACTCCCTGTTGCTCTCTCTAATCCTTGACAGCTGCCATTCTGTCATCAGTCTTATCTATGAATTTTGATACAGTAGGCACCTCTTATAAGTGGAACCATACAATGCTGGTCTTGTCATGGCTGACTTGTTTAATTTAGCATAATGTCCTTAGGGCTCATTCATGTCTTATGTGTCAGAATTTACTTTCCTTATAAGACTGAATAATATCCCATTGTATGTCTATACTGCATTTCGTTTATACATTCATCTATCAATAAACACTGGGTTGCTTCTAACTTTTACCAGTTGTGAATAATGCTGCTATGAACATGAGTGTACGGATATCTCCTTAAGACCCTACTTTGAATTTGTTTGTATGTCCAGAAATGGGATTGTTAAATTGTATGGTAATTCTTTTTACTGTTTTCCATAACAGCTGCATCATTTTATATCTTTACTAGCAATGCATCAGGGTTGCAATTTCTCCACATCCTTACCAACACTTTATTGATAATAGCTATCCTAATGTGTGAGATGATATTTCATTGTGATATTGAGCAATTTTTTCATGTTCTAGCTGGCCATTTGTATATTTTCTCTTTTTAGAAAATTTTCAGGTGTAGTTGTGTTTATGTTATACATATACATGTATGTAATACAGTTTTTGAACTATATACTAAACATTATTTTACATACAGTGTTATGAGATTGGCTTATTTCACTCAGTATTACTAAGATTATGCATGTTGTTGCATGTAAGTATAATTTTTTCATTTTCTTTAATGTATCATACTCTGTTGTGGCTGTTGTCTTTTTTAAGTATCCGGATAGCATGTAATTCCCCTTTATGTTTTCTTGTGGAATCTATGAATATTATTTAGTAATTTTAATTTCCAAGTAATTAAGATTTTTCTTTATTTGCTTTTTTAAGATACAGCATAGTATCGGGCCTCCCCGGTGGCGCAGCGGTTGAGCGCTGGGTTGCGAAGCTGCCCGCGGCCTCTGCAGCGCCGGTTCGATCCCCTGCTGCTCCCTGGCCACCGGAGGGGGGTCCCACATGGCTTGCAGACTTCTCCTGCCGCCCGCTGCTCCCCTCAGCAGTGTACTTCGATCCTTCTGCCTGCTCTGCTCCCCGCTCTGGCTCTGGTGAATTCTCTCACCCTCCCGTGCTTCTGACTGTACCCAGTGCTTGTATAAACAACAAACAAACAAATAAATAAATAAAAAACATGCCTCTAGTTAAAAAAAAAAAAACTGAAGAAAAAGATACAGCATAGTATCATGTTAGCCATTCATAAGTATACAATTCAGTGACAGTACAAACATTCAGTGTTGTGTAATCTTCACCAGAATACACAACCAAAACTTATAGATGTTCCCCCCAAAAAAACTACCCATTACAGATAACTTCTTCTTACCTTCTTCCCCAAGACCTTTGCAGCCTCTGTTTTCTACTTTGTGTCTGTTACTTCCTTTTTTAAGTACCTCGTGTAAGTGAAATCATGCAGTGTTTGCCCTGTGTCTAGCTTATTTCACTAAGTATGATGTTTTCAAGGTCTATCATATTGTAGAATATATCAAAATTTCATTCCTTTTAATGACTGAATAATACTCCAGTGGGAGGAAGGAATATATATGTGTATTGATATTTATCTAGTTACACACACATCACATTTTGTTTATACATCTGTCACTGGATATGTAGTTTCCACATTTTGGCTATTGTGAGCAATACTGCTGTGAACATTGTTGTACAAATACCTGATATAGTCCCTGCTTTCAATTATTTTGGATATATATTCCAGGGAGCAAGCTTGCTAGGTCATATAGTAGTATTGTGTTTTAGCATTTCTGAGGAATTGCCATACTGTTTTTCATAGTGACTGCACCAGTACTCTCCACCAACAGTGCATGAGGGCTTCAATTTCTCCGTATCCTATTCAGTATGTTATTACCCCCCCACCTTTTTTTTTTATAGCTGTCCTAATAATTTTGAAGTTGTATTTCATTGTGGTTTTGATTTGCATATCTGTAATACCTATTAATGCGAGCATCTTTTCATCTGCTTATCTGCCAATTGTGTATCTTTGGAACAATGTTGTATTAAGTCTTTAATCCATTTTTCAACTGGGTTTTGTTGTTGTTACTGAGTTGTAGATGTTCTTTATATCATCATCTACTTATTAATTCCATATCAGATGCACAGTTTTAAATATTTTCTGCTTTCCTTAGGTTATATTTCGCTTTCTTAATAGTATCCTTTGCATAATTCTTAATTATGATATAATCTGATCTGTCAATAACTTCGATTTTGTTGTCTGTGCCCCTGTTTTCATGTCCATGAAATTGTAGCCAAATTCGGTATCTTCAAGATTTTGTTACATTGTCTTTATCTGGCTTTGGCCTCAAAGTATTTATAGCCTACATTGAGTTAGGAAGTAGTTCCCTTCTCTTCTATTTTTTTAAAAGAATTTGAGAAGTACTGGTATTAATTCTTTAAATATTCGCTGAGATTTACAGGTGAAGCCCCTGGTCCAGGAATTTCTTTGTTGGGAGATAAATGTTTATGGATTCAATTTCTTTGTTATGGTTCTGTTGAGATTTTCTATTTCTATTTTAGTTAATTTGGGTGCAAAAGGAATTTGTCCATTTCTTCTGGATTATATCTTTTGTTGTCCTACCAATTATTCATAATATTGTCTTTTTAATCTCAAGTTTAATAGTAATATCCCCATTTTTATTTCTGATTTTAGTTATTGTCTCCTTTCTTTGCTAGCTAAAAGCTTGTCAATTTTGCTAACCTTTTCAAAGAAACAAATTTTTCCTCATTTACTTTTCTCATTTTTCTGTTCTTGCATTTTATTTATTTTGACACCAATTTTTATTAATTCTTCCCTTTACTAGCTCTGTGGTTATTTGTTCTTTAATTCATTAAGACATAATGTTAGGAGTTTTCTTTTTTAATGTAGGGTAGGTATTAACAACTATAAACTAAGCATTACTTTCATTATAGCCAATGCATTTTGGGTTTTGTTCATTTTTCTGAATATTTTCTCATTTCCTTTGTGATTTCTGTTTTACCTGTTAGTTGCTAAAAAGTATATTGTTTGTATATATTTGTGAATTTTCCAGTCTGTCTTTTTCTTCCTTTCTTCCTCCCCTCATTCCCCTCCCCTCCCCTCCCCTCCTCTCCTTTCCCTTCCCCTCCCCTTCACTCCCTTCCCCTCCCCTTCCTTTCCCTCTCCTCTTTCTCAGATTGTATTTGTGCAAACAAGACTAGGGCATAGGCCAGAGGTGGGAGGGGTGAGAGGATTCACTAGAGACAGAGTGGGGAGCAAAACAAGCCGGTCTACTGAAATACACTGCTGAGAGGAGCAGCGGGCCAGACAGAAGTCTGCTGCACCATGTGGGTTACTCCCTCACCAGGGATCAAACTCATGCTGCAGTGGCTGGTGATAGCTTGATAGTGTTGAGATTTTAACCCCTTGGCCACCAGGGAGTTCCCACAGTTTTTCTTTTTTTATTGATTCTAACATTATCCTGTTGTGGTTGGAGAAGATACGTTGTGTATGTATCTTGTCTTTATAATATTGATACTTTTTTTTTAATTTGTTTTTTTAATAGAGGCATGCTTATTTATTTATTTATTTGTTTGTTTGTTTTGTTTATACATGCACTGGGTACAGTCAGAAGTGCAGGAGGGTGAGAGAATTCACCAGAGC